ACAAACACTGACTGAGCCACTACAGTGCCACATGCATAAGAAAAACTTTACCTGGCACATCGTGTCCAATGCACCATCATCTGTGTTTATAAAATTGTGAATCTTCTCGTGCAAAATTGTTTACAATAAAAAGAACAGAATGGTACCCTTTCATTGGTAAATTATATCAGATTGGTTCTTTCTTTTGCTTTTTTTAAAGCGGGCTCTAAAATTATTTACGGTGGAATTCATCATTTCTCAGGTGAGGAGAAAAAATGTCTAATTTAATGGCATGCTTTTATAGTAACTAAAATAAGTTAACAATAGTTACACAAATAATCATAGTAACAAAAAGTAACAATAAATAGTTATAGTAACAAAAATAAATCAAAAAGTATACATTTTCAACCTCTGGAAGAGTAATAAAATGGGTGAAAACAGATGAATCATCATTTATTTTTCTGTAAAAAGAATAATGGCTAACATATTTTACCATGATTTACAGAAGAAACACTCAATAATCATTCATTCTAATATAACTTTTTATATCAAAGGTGAATTTAAATGAGAATGTTTTTTGTGAAATTAGAAGGGTCACAGTTCTGTCCCATTATTTGAAATTTGTTTAATTTGTCAGGAACAACATGTTGCATTGCTCATATATTTATATATTTTACATGAATAGATCAGTTTCACCGACAAATGTTCTGGACTAGGGTGTGGTGTGTGTGTGTGGCATCTTTCTTTGTCAAGAGTTTGGTGCTGTCAATCATTTTTACCTTAAACTGTCTTGTGGTTTTTACAGTTCTTCATGGCGTTTTATTGCATGGTGCATTAAAGTCATGTCGAATAAGGCCTATTTATCTGTGAAGAACGGGCAGAGGGATAAGGACCTTAGTCAGGGAGGTGATCAATAACCCGATGGTCACTCTGTCTTGAGCTCCAGCGTTCTTCTGTGGAGAGAGGAGAACCTTACAGAAGGACAACCATCTGTGCAGCAATCCACCAATGAGGTCTGTATGGCAGAGTGGCCAGATGGAAGACACTTCCCGCCTGAAATTTGCCAAAAGGCATCTGAAGGACTCACAGACCATAAGAAACAAAATTTTCTGGTCTGATGAGACTAAAATTGAACTCTTTGGAGTGAATATCAGGCCTTACATTTGGAGAAAACCAGGCACCGCTCATCACCAGGCTAATACCATCCCTACAGTGAAGCATGGTGGTGGCAGCGTCATGCTGTGGGGATATTTTTCAGCAGCAGCAGGAACTGGAAGACTTGTCAAGAAAGAGGGGAAGATGAATGCAGTAATGTACAGAGACATCCTGAATAAAAACCTGCTTTAGAGTGTTCTTGACCTCAGACTGGGGCGACGGTTCATCTTCCAGCAGGACAATGACCCACAGCACACCGCCAAAATACCAGTGAAGTAGCTTTCAACTCGGTGAATGTCCTTAAGTGGCCCAGCCAGAGCCCAGACCTAAATCCTATTGAACATCTCTGAAAATGGCTGTACACCGTTGCTTTCCATCCAACCTGATAAAGCTTGAGAGGTACTGCAAAGAGGAATGGGCAAAAATTCTCAAAGACAGGTGTGCCAAGCTTGTGGCATCATTTTTAAAAAGACTTGAGGCTGTAATTGCTGCAAAGGGTGCATCAACAAAGTATTGAGCAAAGGCTGTGAATTCTGATGTGCATGTGATTTTTCAGGGGTTTTTTTTAAGAAATTTGCAACAATTTTAAATTGTCTTTATGGGGTATTGTTTGTGGAATGTTGAGGAAATAAATGAATTTTATGCATTTTGGAATAAGACTGTCACATAAAAATGTGGAAAACGTGAAGCACTATGAATACTTGATCCCAGCTATCGAAGACTTCCAAGACAACAAATACACTTAATAAACAAATACACTTTATCAAACGTGTACACAAAGACATCAACTATACATGCAATTAAATTGCAGGTTAACCATGTCTGAATAATTTGATTGAAACTTTAACTAGATCTGATTGTAATGCGATAATGTGCACCTTTTGTAAAGCTGCTTAAGAACAGTACTGATAGTAAAAGCTGCTATACAGATAAACTTGAATTGAACAAGTTGAATGAACATTAACATGCAGAGAGCCCCCCTCCTCAAGACAAGTCCCCAAACTTGTTGTCGTATGCATACACAATTGACTTAACGTTCTAATATTAGGTTCATCGAAACAGTTATTTCTGAGACTTAATTCGAGAAATGTACCAAATTAGGCGACAGGAAAAACTAATAAATACAGTGCCTTAATAAATGTTTTAGTTTTAAAAAGGGAACAGTGCAGGAGACTGCGAGAAGGACTGTTGAATTAAAGTGATTTTCATCAGGAAGATGCAGTCATTTTTATAGAATATTAGAGCTTCTGTGTGACAAAGTTACACGCCCAACAAAAAAAATAGCAAACCAAAACTTCACTCACTTGCCTTTGACGTAGTCCCTGAAATATCACAGGCCACCACAGCAGAATGAACCACCATATAACTTTGGCATATGTTGTTGTTTTTACATGTGGCGGGTGTACTAGTTAGACAAATAAATTATAAATTATTGAAATTGCAAATCCATGGACCCTGAGAGCACATGCCTCTTCAGTTCTCGCACATTTAGCCAGTTATGTAATGAGTTATCTGAACCAGCAGATGGCGATAACTGGCTGTGAAAATATGTCATAGCATGACACGGCAGAAGCAGAGCAAGAGTGGAAAACAAACACGCGAGTCTTGGGGATGTTGATCGCCTTGAACTAACCAAAACACTTTGATTTGTGATGGAATTTAATACTAGACAATTATGTAGCCTGTTTTGTATACGAATTTTGCAACTTGTTCATTATAATTTATAATAATATAGCAAGTTGTACTATAAGGAAAAGCACAGCAAGCTCATTCAGCTGCTTTCTCGCATTTCATCTATTAATAATAATCGTAAATGAGCAATGTCGCAGTCCACGACCCCCCAAAAAGGCAATTTGACAGGAAGTGCCAGGAAATTAAAGGACGACGCCGCAGACTGGCATAATCTCACCCTGAGATGGGAGAGATTAAACGACGAGGGATCCGCGACTGCGACTAACATTGTTAACCTGGGACTGATTAAGAAGTAAGCTCTTTCAGTGACTTTAATGATTAAAGTGAGAATTTATACTGCATTTAATAGCATTTTTACCTTTATTTCTCCATGATCTGTCTGCAGGTCACACGCCGAGTCTGAAGTTGTGATGGAAGGAAGCAGTTTGTCCTCTGGAGATCTTTCAGAAAACCTGACGAAGAGCAACCAGGAGCTCGAGGAGGAATGTGGGAAGTTGAAAGATGTCGTGGATAAAATGGTAACTTCTGGAGAACGAGCATTATCAGTACATTACACGATGAAATACATTCACAAATAACTTTAAAATTGTCCTACCAAAGGCAAACATAGTGTCGAAGATGGAGAAGATGGTCCAGGCTGAGCGCGGGATCTGTGAGCTTGAAGCCTTTCAGTTTGGAGAGAAAGGAAGACCAGAGCCACTCTTTCACTCATGGCCCACTAAACAGTTTGGTAAGACAGACTAGTAGTCATAAAATCAGGTGTCAGTTAAATGTAAATTAGTCTGTGTATGTAAGGTCAATTAAAGATTGACTAATTGAGAAGTGTGGTCTGTTCTGCCCTGCAAATGGGACACTTTAACATATGAAATCATGTATTTTCCCCAAAACTTGTGTGTGAAATGCATTAAAATATGTAATCATAAAATACATTTAAAATATGAATATCCTTCACTGTAAGGTAATATAAGTGTATGTGAATTAAACACTTTTTTTGATATGTCCTGTGTCATTGACCTGTTTCTTCATCCTCTTCATGACAGCTGAAGTGTCTTCCCAGCTTTATGAGTCATACAAGCAGGAGTTGGCGTTGAAAAAGACTATATTACAGGAATTAGCCCACACGGCTAATGCGGATCTGTCAATGGTCTACCTGTCATCTTGGCTTTATCAGCCCTACATTGAGGACAGTGGAAAACTGCTACTAGAGAGCTTGTTATTGGAAACCGGTCACAGACCTTTGTGACTTAGTAAATGTGTGTAAATTAAAGGCATATTGTGGTGTGTGTGTGTGTATCTTGGGTTTAATCTTTATATTCTCCTTTCTCCAAAAATAAAATGCTGTTTTTATACTGTAACCTTTAAGCAATCTTTACCATACAAACTCCATGAACTCACAAAAGACTTAATGTCATATTTGAACACGTCCCTTTGTATTAAAAATGTTGAGATGTTTCAAAAACACAGTAAATCAGGAATTATATAAAAAGTAATAAAATAGTGCATCAACTTTCCAAATAAATCTTGCACTAGACAAACAAAACTACTGGATAACAGAAACAATGGAACATCTGAGGCTGCGCTCGGAGATTACAAACATCCCTGTTTGTTTTACAAATCTAGATTGTTTTTCTCACCATCTGAAGTGGCTTATCAAAAGCTCAACTATATATAAGAAATCTCAAAATATCTTGTTTTTTGAGCCAGATTGACCGCATTCAGCTTTAGGCTGAGGGGTAATATTCAAACAAGTGTCCAAATGTGTTTGAATAAAGTATATCATGGCGGGGGTACTGATTTAAACTGTATTATGACTATAGCCTGGGGCTTTAACATAAAGGAACAGCTATTTACAGATTTCACTGAAGGTCAACTAAGTTGACAGAGTTTCACAAAAATCGCACCACAGCTTAACTGAACCTCGTTGAGTCCGTAACTTAGTTTTGGCAGATTTTTCTTCCTCCCATTTCCACATGTCATGAAACATTCAACTTTGAAAATAAAAAAAGTGCTCGGTTTCTTCCACAGTTTAGTGTGTTGTCAAATAAGTAAATATCACTTTCCATCAACACCCAGTCATGGACTCTGAAACCAATAGTTAAGATATGCCAACATAAGCGAACACAGTCTAAAATCTGAAATCAACAAAGACTTTTGCATAAACAGAAAACACTAATATATAATAATACTGTTTTTATACAAATTTACAAAGAATGCAATAAAAGTTCATTGAAAAAAAAACACCATAACACAGACAGAACGTATACATGGTGTCAATAATGGACAAAAACAGGAAGTGAAGGTGTGGCTAAGTCTTTCTCTCAGTTTCAATGCCCAGTAGAGCGTGAACCGTCTCTAAAGGAACTCCTTCGGGCGCCTCGATGTGCATCATGGTGCCATCGGGACCGTTGACTATGACGATGCCTTTAGCGGCCAGCTCCTCTGCGCTCTGCATGACGAGCCCCTCGGCTGTCTGGATGATGACTGGAGATTCCTGCTGCACCACCTGACCGGCCTCAGGATCTTCTACGGCTTCTGCCTGGCCATCTTCAAGCGCTTGCTGTGTTGGTTCTTGAGTTGAGTTTTTATGCTCAGTGTCTGTGCTCAGAGCCTGCTCCAGCTCTTTCACCTGATCGGCGATATCGACGGTTGTGCTGCTATTCAAAACCTTCGAGATCTCTGGATCTTCAGTGGGTTTTGTAGTATCCGAATCGGCAGAAGGCACTTCTGTCTCCATAGGCTCTTCTTCTGTCCTTGTTGGAGTAGTGTTTTCAGCGCTCTGTGCTTCATCTGCAGCAGTCAGATCTACAGACGTCAGGTTCTCCAGTCTGGTCAACACCACCTGAGGCCTTAGCAGTACTGAGTCGTCAACAGGCTCGTCCTTCTGGATGCCGTTCTGATTGATCTGATAGCCGTTGGTTTCTTCAGAAGGGTTTTCTATTTTAAACCTTTTTGCAGGAGGCAGCATTTTGGCATTCTGTGAAGAACAGGAAGGGAAAACGTGATTAGCATACACTGGGAACTATGAGTGCGTCTCGGGCTGTTTACATGACAAAAACTGGAAACTTTTTATACGTTTTGCCTGTTAATTTACACAACAATAATGATTACATATACATGGACATCAGTAATTAATTATTTTTCTTAATAATTAATTTAAGACAATGATATGATTAAGGTGTTTACATGAGTTGCTTTTTGAATGTTCCTTTCATGATCCTGTTTTACATGTTATGGCACATAGATCCATTCACATTGTTGCGCCACCACGCTATCCAATGTTTCTCCAGAGTTTTCAGGCGTTTCATTTTTAATTTTTCAACTTTAACTGCAGTTTCACTTTCATTCATCAACATTTCATTCATGCCCCGTGACAAACTGAGGTGTTGGATGTGAGTATGACAAAAGGTTTGGTGGAGTGTTGTTTTAATGGAATTTGATACCGCACGCCGAATGGAAAGAAAAAACTTCTGCATTTTACGATGTGTGTGTCTGCGGTCCTTTACGGACTCGGTAGGTGCAGTGAATAGTGTCAAACGGCCGTGTGTATGAAATATCCTGTCGCAAAATGTGACAACAAGTCCTACATAATGTTAATAGTTTGATTAAGGTGTTTAGATGTTCGTACTGCACTTCAATAATGCGCCTAAAATCAGTACACTCCACATCTTAATCCGATTTTTGAGTTCGATTACCACTTTAGTGGAATTAAGGTAATCAAATAAATGAATAAATAAATCGCTGTTTACGCAGACTCCTAATCGGAGTACTGTCAGCATATGAGGCTGCTAGGCTAACCTAGCTTCAATTTTGATTAAGTAATTCTCTAATCGGTTGTCTATTATGTGGTGAATATACCCCTGTAATGCATACTGCAGTCCTTTTTATCTGGCTCTCTCGCATATCTCACCTGTTCACCAAAAATGAATTTGCCTGGGAATGCCTGACACCGGCGCAATAATTGAAATGTGTATGCGGCTTATGTGTATGCAGGCGAGCCAAGGCCAGTCAGGTTTCCAGTCACTTCCTAATCGGGAAAAAGCGGGGCTTTCTCTGGGCCAGCGGCCGGCCTTTTTCGGCCTGCCGAATACCTTGTGCCAAAGAGGGCCAGCTGGGGCTTCGGGGCAGAGTGAAAGGAGAGGTCGGACACAGTTTTCTGATCGCACACAAGTACATGCGCCAAACAAATAAACAAATAAATAAATAAGGGAGAGAAAACATCTAGCCTTATAGGCTGGGGTCTTTTTGCGTACAATCGCCCTTATGTTACCCTTTAAAATGTAAGGCTGTTGCATAAAATAATAAAGTTTTAATTTATAAAAGTGACATTCTTTGCTGCGTCCTCCATGATGTTTCAATAACGCATAATAATCTTTACACAATATTAAAGACACATCAGACCGTAAAGGTTTTTAAGAGCTTTTGTCAAGTTTAAAAGGTGGGTTTGTGCGCGTTAAATGCCTGTGAGTGTGAGACCGAGAAAAAGAGCGCTCCCTTCACAGCCCTCTTAATGCCGTGAGCGCCTTGTTTTCTTTTCTTTATGTATTTTGGAGATAATACACAATATGAATACAACAGAAAGACATAAAACTTAACAAATTTCATCTCCACTTTTGTAGGCTCAAAACATTAGTCATATCTTGATAAAATAGCCTAAGCTATATTGAAATAATTTAAAGAATTACAAATATCGGATATAATAAAACTGCATTAAATAAATAAACCAATATAAAACTAACAAAAGCTAAACCAATTTAGGTATATACAATACATAAATCAAACCATTTTAAAGCCATATTGAACTTTATTTTACAAAGGCCTATCTGAAAAAAAAAAGATTTTAGATATTTTCTAAAAGCAATTAACACCGGAGAAGGTTTTGAAATATTATTTATGAAGTATTTGGATACGATGATATTAATCAAATGATGCAAACAGAGCATTTTTTGGGTGAGTGAAAGCAGAAACTAGGCTACCTTTTTTTCTGTCCAGCGCAGCGCCACTTTACAAACACATCGGGGAAAACTGCAAATACAAAATTTGTTCTGTGTCCTCAAACAAGTGTTTATGTTTTTATATGACATGGTCAAATTTAAAAATGAAATTTAATAACATGAAGAGCTTTATTAGTGGATAGCTGCTAAGCAACACAAATATAGGCTATATTTTATTACTTGCTCTTATGTGCTGAAACACTTAACAATTTCCTTTACCTAATATGCAACATCCTTAAATAAAGGATAATCACCTATTAAGAGGGTATATGCCGAGCTAGTGCTGTTCCCATGCTGATACACTTCCGGTGACCTGTTATTGTGAATTTTTTCCCATTTTATACGGTTCCTTATACAGCATCGATGTTTTAATGTCATTAAAATACATTCAGTTAAATGAACTGTAGCATTTATTTAGTTGCTGAAGCGTAAAACGAGACAAAAAGCCGTTTACTCGCACGCGCCCGTCAGAATCGGCAGGCTAACGCAGAAGCTCCATTGAATATACTGAGGTAAAGTAAATGCTCATATTATAAATATATGTCGGGGGAAATGTAATTTAATGCAGTGCTTATTCTACAATCTGAGACCCACTTTAAATCAGATATCACTCAGCTAGTGGAGATCGCTGATTTTAAAAGAAAAGAGACCTTAAACGCACTGGATTTTGCATTGGCATTCAATTCGCCGGAAGCGCTTAACCCAGGTTGCTGGCAAATTAAAAGTCCTATAAGCATGCTTCGGCATATACCCCAGTACCTTATAGCCTATAAGGAAAAACTAATGTTTCAGGTCTCTCCGTAGCATTTGGGCTGAATGTTTAACAGCGTCTATCTAAATGAGGATGTTATAAAATACAATTTCTTCCGAATTATTAACGGAAAATTTCTGTGGTTTATATTATGGATGGGTGCACTCACTGCGCTGGGTCCCTGCCGCTATGTAGCTTACTATGGCGAGGGAGGTGAGCTGGGGGTATTTACAACACTCCAACTACTTAAAACACAGAAACTGCGCACAATTTTACTGCGTGTGTGTTTGCTGGACAGTCTTTCACTGACATTTACAGCAGAAGCCCTTATTTCACTGCGATTGAGAAAAGTACTTTTTTTCTCTCTCACTGTGGCCCATTTGACCTGCTGGCGTGACTTTTCATCTCCTCTTGGCTGTTACAGTGATTCTTCTGGATACAGACACAAGTGCGCGTCAGCAGAGTTCTCTCCACTGTCTCAATCATAGATCAGCTGTGATCACTGCTGCAGTTTATCTGTGTTTATCATCGGTGAACAGCGCCAGAGCATTAGAGCCAATCATAGCCCTTTCTGTTGAGCACATGACCAATCATAGGGATGTATGAAAGAACTCACTAAACAGAACTCAAAAAGCGAGCGGGATATTTATGTTTATTTGCTAAAAATTTTTATGTTGTTCTGTGCATGTTTTTAAAGGTACAGTTTATATATCTGACTGCTTGGATTAAAGGACACAGATGTATTACAAATAGCATATAAATATATTGATACAATTTAATACAAGAATTGCTGTGCTGTGAAAAATATATAGCACCTGTGTCTGGAAAGCAATTGTCATGATAATCGTAACCAAACCGAACCGTGAGACCAGTGTAGGTTCACGCCTCTAATAATTCATGCTAAATATGTTGCTCTAAATGACCAACAACTGAAGAAATGAAAGTAAAATGACACTTAACTCCAGCAATATGTCCTGTATGCCATCCTGCTTAAAGGATTTCTGATTTTCGCAAAACATACCTCAATACTCCGTAGACTCTTGGTGGCCTGATTTGCTCGTGGCTCTAATTGATTTGTCTTTTGACTTTGTTGTCCTTCAGAAGAAGTCAGGAGTTTCAGTGCGTTGGGATCTGTTATACCCAGAGACTGTAAAACCTGGAACGAAAGGAAATTTGTTTGGTACTAAAGTTTGATCATAAAGCTGCAATAACTAAATGTCTAGCAATGACTTACTCCTATGTTGTTGACCTCTATAGCTGGCCGAGAGGCGGGTGAAGTGTGCAAATATTCCAGCGCCATATTCTTCACCTGACTGTGAAGTTCCTCAAACTCATGGTACACATTTGGGAACTGTTGCTTTGACGGGTAGCCCTTCTCCACCTACAGAAACAAGAACAACGTAAATTTGCATGAAAAGTAATAAGATGGTATTTAAATGGCTGCTCCAAGAGTTAAAAGTGAATATCACTGGACAAAGAAAAAAATTAATCTTAGGTGTGATCAATACCTTCATCATCACAAACTCCCAGACAGTCATGACCCGGGCCAGACGCGGAAGAACAATCTCCATGAGATCTTCATCATCATACTGCTTAATAAACTGAAGGAGGAGGACAAATATTTAGTGTTTGCAGTTAGTATTTATTGAATGGCACTTGTGAGATTGTTTAACTTAATTTGCTCAAACAGTAAGAAATGTTCTTTAGGCAAAGTTTAACTTTTTAATGGCAGACTGGACAAAAGTATTGTATTATAATACATTCATTGTAAACACATTATAACACATTATAATTATACACATTATTGCTCAAAAAAGAGTTCCCATAGAAAATCTAACCCTAATATAAAACTGGAAATTATTTAGGGATGGATAATACCAATTATTTTCTTTTCAAACCGATACCAAGTATTTCAAGACAACAATCATTGATATCGATACTTCAATGAAATATTTTATAGTTATTTTATGTTTTTTAAATCACCTTCAGTATAATTTTGAAATAATACACAATTGCTTTTTGCATTTATTAAAATTACAGAGAATTATTTATTATTATTAGCCCACATAAATTATTAACCCCGTTTATTTTTTTCCCAATTTCTGTTTAACGGAGAGCAGATTTTTTAAACGCATTTCTAAACATAATAGTTTCATTAACTCATTTCTAATAACTGATTTATTTCATCTTTCCCATTATGACAGTAAACATTTAACTATGTATTTTTAAAGACACATAAAGTGACATTTAAAGGCTTAACTAAAGGCTACAGTTTGTTCTGTAGACTATCGAAAAAATATATAACTTAAAGGGGCTAATAATTTTGACCTTAAAATGGTTTATAAAAAAAATTAAAACTACTTTTATTTTAGACAAAATAAAACAAAGACCTTAAATTAAGCCCATTTTCTAAGGCATTTAGCAATTAATCATATTCAATTCCAAGTTAAATAAATGTTTAAGTGTTTGTAAATGTTTTGTGTCATATAGGGCTACATTAAAGAGCTAAGTTATATTCTTTTTAAATGAAATGATAAAACTATGAAATTATGAACAAATTATTTTTATTTTCTCAATGGAATTTCAACCCGATCTGACTCTTAACTTAAGGACGAATACACCTAGAGTACCATGAGGGTAATTAAATCACAGGCTAATTAAAAATTTTTGGATGAACAAAACCTTTGAGTAGAGTCTTGTTCTTTTGACTTGTCCAATCTTCACTTAGTTGCTTTGAATCAGGATTTGTAAAGTCGTGATTCTGCTCACAGCAGGTTGCTTTGGTTCTTGGCATATAGTGTTTTAAGACTTTAAAATAGGTCCATATATGGAATAATCAACAGTAAAATTATTTCCAGACCCAGCACTTGAACACTGGGCAAGTATTCATCATCCAAACATTCTGAGCACTGTTTTACAACAGCCAGCAAATTGCCATAAAAATGCAAGTATAGTTACATTATGCGAAACACAAACATGACAACTCACAGAGATTATGGCATCATAATTAAAAAGCTTTAAAAATTGCATACAGCAAAACTGAATACATGATTTATTTTGAATATACACATAGTATAACACTAGCACGCAGCCAGATGTACAATACTATGCAAAAGTCTTAAGCCACAAGTATTTTCATAAAAAATACTAGTTTCTATATTTGTTATTTCTATATTTTCCTGTAGCATGTGAGTTTGAATTACCAATTTACATTTCCAAACATTACTTTTGTTATCAATTTTAGTTTTACAGTGAGATTATTTTCTGAAAACAGAATAGAGTCTGAAAACAGCCAGAGTTGATCTGATCATCATCCAGTCTGTCTGAAATGACATGAATAAACAGAAGCCGAGACAAACTAAATCTAGAAGAACTTTGGCAACAATCTCTAAGATGCTTAATAAAAACCTACCTGCAAAGCTACAGTACTGTTGAAAAGTTACAGTACTGTACATTTCAGACACTTGTGAAATGTGTAAAAATGCTGTAAAATGGGGATGCTTTCAAAAATAATGCATAAATACATTTTATTAATCAAATAACTAAATAAAATAAACATTTGGTATGACCAGACATTGCATTTAAAACACTTGGTACACTTGACCATAGCTTTGCCGGGATTTTTTTAAGCATCTTAGAGATGTTGCCAATTTCTTCTGGATTGAGTTTGTCTTAGTTTATTCTGTTTCTTGGTTATTCTGTCATTCCAGACAGGATGGATGATGATCAGATCAGATCTCTGAGTGGCTGCTGTCAGACTTCCTTTTATTTGTAAAAAAAAAAAAAATTAAATTAAATTAAAAAACTAGTGGCCTAAGACTTTTGTGTAGTACTGTACAGTGTACTGTGACTCGTCACTAGCCAACAATTTTTTTGTTGAGAAAATACATTTTATATGCATTTGTGTTGTGCATGAGCTTGAACAAATGGATTGTGGCTGTATAGTGATGCATTGCAATTAGATTTTATTTCACAAGACTTTTCAGGGCTCAACACTAAGAATTAACCACATTTTTCTCTGGCTACACCAAAAATAAAAGTAAACAAATTATTCTTAGCCCAAAATGACTGATGATCACGTGAAAGGTTAAAGTGAAAGCAACCTGCTGCTTACAAAAAGACCAAAAACAGGACTGTGAGTGTGCGAGTGTCACTTTTTGTCCAGTCTATTTAAAAGAGAATCGATTGCAGCAGTTGCGTTTCCAACACAGACGCTTCGTGCAAGGAACCTTTAAACTTTTAAACACTCACGCTTATCACATCACCTGAAATCAGCCTTGACACTGAAGCCCTCGTCAGTGCGTCAGGATAGCCTGTGTCTCACCATGCACATGATCATCTTCTTATTAGGTATTTACCTGCTTTCCTTCGCTCATGCGAACACAGTTATTATTCTCATCCACCACGCTGGCCCCTCATTGGGCAACCCTTATTGTTAAGCTTTTTAAGAAAACTACAATTTAAAAATGATCTTCAACCAGCCAAAGTGGAGGTGACTGTCTAACCTGCCATAGCTGAAATCGAACTGCATATATACTGATACTGTATATGTATCTGAATCTTACTTCTTTTAGTCTGTTTCTCTGTCTTTGTGCTTGTTGCTCCAAGGTCATTCCTCTGGGGAACTTGGGTGGCCGTCCAGGTCGTCCTCTTTTAGGTGGCCGTCCAGGCCTCCTAGGATGACCCGGCCGTCCGGGTCCCCTGGGCCGCCCTGGTCTCCTGGGTTCTACCTTTCCAAATTCTTGAACCTGAAATTTCATTAAATACAATCGTTTGTAACTGTTAGCTACTCTCAATGTTTCAACACCTAAACGACAAAACAAATCAACTTACCTTTTGAGTACTGACTGTTTTTACATGAATAATATCTGTTTCTTCAGTTTCTGAAGGTTGTTCATCTCTAGTTTTAGAAAGGTCTTCAGCTTGAACCGGTGTTGGGTTCTTGTCATGTGTGGGATATAGCTTATAGTGTCTGCTCAAACCAGCAACTCCAATGTACGATTTCTCACAGGTATCACATTTAAAGGCTTTGTCACGGAGGTTGAGTGTAACATCCGAGGTCTTCCTCTTGCGGTCTTCTCCCTCCTCATCCTCCACACTTATCTCAGAGTAGTCGTCTGAATCCGACTGGTGGCTCTCAGCTAAGTCCTCATTTTTAATAAACTTATAATCCTTCACCTTGTGCTTCGGTGGTCTGGACACCCGACCAGAGCGTGTCTGGATTTTTAGAGGCTTCTTCTGGCGATTCTTAACTTTCTGGACATTCTCTGCAACAGGCGGAGTTGAAGTTTTTGTTTCTACGGTAACGACTTTGGTGGGCATTGTTATCTTGGCTGGAGGAGGAGGAGGAGACAAAACTTTCTGTGATGGAACGAGGATCTTTGGGGTAGGAACAACTTGGGGTTTTGCTGGTGGACTTTTGACTGTGGCCGGTGGTGGTGAGACATGTACCTTACTAATGGGGACAGAAATGGTGCTAACGACAGGAGCTGGTTTCTGAAGTAGAAGCTGAATAGGGGGATCGCTTGGGTTTTGTAAGAAATATTGCTGCTGGCCAGGCACCGGCGTGATGTGGATGATTTGCGGGCTGCTTAACGTTCCTACGGTTGAAACCTTCACCAGTGGCTGACTGGTTGACAGATTCTGTGGCTGTAAAATTGTTATTGGAGTTGTCTGCCGTTGTTTATTGTCTTGCTTCAGAGGTGCCTGCACTTGAATTTGGATGGGCTCGGGTGCCTGTATAATTCAAGGTGTGAAAAACAACATTAGCTTTGAAGATAAACAGCTAAATAATTCACTTGTGAATTAAATTGGTTTATCTATACAGAGAATATTTAAATGATTGCATGCAGAACACTAAACAAAAGAAAGGAGTGAGACTTTGACATATTACTACCCTAAGAAATAAAAAGGCTTCTAAAACAAAAACACTTAGTAACCATACTTTCTGCCCAAATCACACAATTGCTAAGAGCAATAATACAAATCATTAATTAATATAGAACTTTATTCCAGTCTAATAAGAATGCAGGAAAGGAAGTATGTAATGTATGTAATGGTAAAAGCAATTATGTATGTTAAGGCTGATTGATAGATCTTCTAGCCCTCGCCGTGGCTGACATTGAAGCTGATGCACACCTCTCAATAAAATTTAACTACACCTCTCAATGACGCGTAGCACAAGCTCTGTGATAGGTCAGCTTGGAAGGTATGACAAGTGTGGGGGGGATTGAGAGCTGCATGAACCCGTTAGAATAAGTGTCAATTGCCGTGAAGTAGCTCTAGATGGAAACTGTTGTTTTGTGTTTACATTAAGATTAAAGTTGCTGTATGTCCGCCAGTTCCCACCTCAGACTGAGCAAGTTTTAGCTACTTGTAAATTAAGTAGCGTTCAGAAAAAACAAAAACACCTGCAAAGATACTCGACATAGAGAAACATAAAAACATACTGCCAGCTAGCATGTTGAAAGTGTTACTGCAGAGTAACACAACACAAACAGCACACAGACATATAAATGCATGGCTACGTGCAAGGCAGGTGCCATAGGTCACACCAATTACTCGACCCATTATAAATGATAAATCAGCCTTAAACATGCAAATAATACTTTAGGTAATATGGACAGGATGTACAGCAGATGATACTTGTAGAGGAACAAAGTATGTACAGTTGGAAATATGTATAGAAGGAATCTTGTAGATAAAAATTCACAGAAAGACATATGAGGAGACATATGTGAATTATTATTCCTTATTTTTCTTGTTATTATCAATCAGAAACAAAGGTATTATGTAATAAACATATAGAAGGAAATCTATACAGAATAAATAAAAATCAGGGCGGAACTATGGTGGAAAAATCTGATACTACGATATTTTTTTTTCTGTGATAAATATTGCGATATGAATACAGTTTAGTCTGCTTCTCACAGCAAGAAGGTCGCTGGTTCGAGCCTCGGCTGGGTCAGTTGCCATTTCTTGTGTGGAGTTTGCATGTACTCCCCATGTTGGCGTGGGTTTCCTACGGGTGCTCCGATCTCCCCCACAAGTCCAAAGACATGTTGTATAGGTGAAGTGGGTAGGCTAAATTGTCCGTAGTGTATGTGTGTGAATAAGTGTGTATGAATGTTTTCCAGAGATGGGCAGCTGTAAGGGCATCCGCTGCGTAAAACATATGCTGGATAAGTTGGTGGTTCATTCCGCTGTGGCGACCCCAGATTAATAAAGGGACTAAGCCGCAAAAGAAAATAAATAAATGAATGTATGATTTAATACAGTTTTGGATCGTTTAAATAGCACTGTCTGACAATTTCTGGGAGTCTAACAATATTCAGTTACAAAAACTGAATATTCACGATGTAAAAAGCCGTTTTATTTTGCTTTAAGGCTGGTACACACTGAGATTTTTTATAATCCTGAACATTGTAGCATGTCAGACTGCACGAACATGGCTCTCATGTCACACTGTATGATCTCAGCTGTCATAATGTCAGACTGAACAACAATGAAGATGCACTAAACACGGAAGAAAACACTCCCGAAGTTTGACGTCATCCACTTTCACTATCCCGTGTTCTGAAATCATTCCTCACAGCAAACTTAAACAATCTGTAGCGGCATTTTTGCACACAACACGCCTCAATAATAAAACCAGGAAAAAAAACTGTTTTGACATTTCCACGTTGTCATTTGAATTAATCGCATAAATCGCGTCATCAAATTCGGAGCTCCCATTAATTCTTGGATTGGGAACGTTCTTGGAAATCTTCTGACACTGCCAGAACTTCATCTGAGGGCAAATCTGATCGCAACAGGCACTAAGTGCAAGCGGCTGTCTGTGAACATGTCAAACCAATAATCAAAGATCACAGATTTTAGCCTAGGATTTCAGAAATCTTTTAGGATTTCCCAAATTTGTCTCAGATGACAAAATCGCGGCTGGGAAGGGCTTTAGTCTCATGTCTAGTCCAAAGTATTCTTAGAGCAAGTAAAATATTGTTTTGTTTTCACCTTTAGAAGAAATAAGTCAAAACGAAAAGTTTTTCATTAATAAGCTAAAAATATTTGCCAGTGGGGTAAGCAAAATAATATTATTTTCACTTTGAAATGTAGATATTTGGACTAGAACCAAGAGAAAAATTCTAAGTAATATATTTTTTTGCCTACATAGAATAATTACAGTAATCAATACAATTCTGTAGCTCCTAGTCAACTATAATTCAGGCTTTTAACATTGCATTTCCTACAATGTCACATGGCTTCCGCTACATTAATTCTTTCATGGCAGGGCGCCACATCAAAGACCATCGCGCCACGGCAACATTACAGCTTGTCATTCAAAACATTCAGTAGTTTGTTTTTTTTTTATAGCGGGTTATAATCACAGCAAAACGAATTAAAAGGTAAGTGAATTATAACAGTGCAAAATTTTCTGTAACCGTAGAAATATTGTGCGTTATTTGTTTAACCCTTTAAGTGACATGCTGACTGACAGGTGTGTGAGGCTAGCAAACACAACGTAGCTTACAGTTAAGATGAACACAGTTTCCATATTTATACTGTATAGATAAAGGTCTATGGTTCTGCATACAACAAAAAAAGATTATCTTGCTGGAGTTTATAGCCGTTTCACTTTACTTCAGGACATTCATAAATATTCCTAGCCAATCTAATAAATGTTGGAGACATACTCACAACATAAACGCACTAAATCGCACTTCAGCAGTGTCTATTTGAGAGCGCACAAGAAGATCTGCACTTGAGCAGCATATATTTGAGGGCATGCAAGAAGCTTTGTGCACAAAGAGGAAATAGACACGCAAGCGAAGAGATTCGCATGCTCGTATTACATGAATGCGATCTCGACTTGTAATACTGCACTTATGACATTTGTCATTGAAATAATGCCATAGGTAGTTGGTAGATCTGTGTAAAAGGCCTGCACCACAGCTGGAAAAAAAATCCTAGAGGAAACACTCTCACTGTTGTGGATGCGCACATTGCAATATTGATGCTGAAATGATATATTGTGCAGCCGTGATATAAATACAGAAAGGAAGTAGTTAAAGCACAAAAAGGCATTAAGAAAATAATATCTGGTAAAAAGTAGAGAGAAAAGGAGGTGCAAAGGGGCGTATTTGTGGAAACAGGGAAATATCTACAGAAGGAAATATGGAAGAAAAGGAACAGATGATAATACACACATAAAGAGGCATATACAGAAGGAAATCTGTGCAGAAGAAAGAGCAGCAAAGAGAAAGAACAACAAAAGAAAACACTTGTGGAAGAAAATTGTGTACACACAGTAGGAGTGCATAGAAGGTGTACAGTATATGAATGATGGATGTGTGCAGAATAAATAAAGAACTAAAAGACAAGAAGTATTTAAATAGACACTTTTGGAAATTGAGAAGTATCAAAGGCTTTAAGTATGTGCAAAAAAGATGAAAATACAAACAGATGAAGGAAATCTGTGCAAAAGAAAGCATAAAGTGAAAGGTTCCATACATATGGAAGAATAGATGTACATAATATGCACATGTCTGCACAAATATACAAAGCGTGTCCAGAATGAAAAAAAAATAGTACTGGAGGAAGCACAAAAGGAAATTCATGTGGGAAATGGGCAATATGAAAGGAAAAGATGTATGTGCAGAACATTCCCAAGGAAATCTGTGCAAAAGAAAGAACAGAAAAAAGAGGGAATGGACAGAAAGAAATATGTGTGGAAGAAAGAATGTGCAGAATACAAATGGAAATACACAAAACTGAATGGAAGCACAGAATGAAGAACGTAAAGAAGGAACTGCACACAGAAGAAAGAAGTAGGAGGACAAATGGAAACTGAAGAAAACAAATGGGAGAAAGGAAATGCAAAAACAAGTATGGAAGGGAGCATGTGCAACAACAAGTAGATCTGTGCAGAAGAAGGAAGCACGAAGGGAAGCAGTAAGTACTAGAGGAAATACTTCTGGAAGAAGGAAAGGAAAAGTGGTATAAGCTGCACACACAAAAGTATGGAAGGAAAAATAGTATCCAATACCAATAATCCACCAATGATAGGATTAGGATCTGCAAAAGAAAGTATTCTAAACGGACAGAAAAGTGTACAGAAGGGAAAACGTATGGGGGAAAGTGTAGAATGGAATGATGAAATGAGGGAAATACAAAAAGCTGCAGCAGTAGTAGTACAGGAGGAAATGTAGGTAAAGGAGGTATGGAAACAGTTGTGTGGAAGCATGGGAATACATGCAAAAGGAAGTACAGAGGGATGAGGAGCAATGAAAATTTCAACAAGAAAAAATAGAAAACAATGAAAATACAGGTAAATTATGTCTGGAATAAAGAATGTGCAGAATACAAAAGGCAATACACAAAACTGATTGTTTACTGGTAGGAAGCCCAAAATGAAGAACATAAAAGAAATGCACAGATAAAAAAGAGGACAAATGTAAGGAAACAAATGAAAACAGAAGGAAACAAATGGAGAGAGGGAAATGTATAAACAAGTATGGAAGAAAGCATGTGCAACATCAAGAAGATCTGTACAGAGGAACTAAACTATAAAGGGAAGCAAGTACTAAAGGAAATACTTCGGAAGAGGAAAGGAAAAGTGGTATGTGCTGCATAGTGCATACACAAAAGTATGAAAGGAAAATAGTATGCTTGGAAATTAAGGAAACACTTATGAAAGACAATCCACCAATAATAGGATGGGAATCTGCAAAAGAAAGTATTCTAAATGGACGGAAAAAGTGTACAAAAGGGAAAAATTACTGGGGAAAGTGTAGATGAAGGAAGAACGTACAGAAGTACAACAAGTGGTCGTACAGAAAGAAATGTAAGCAGACTATAATAAGAACAAAAGAAAGAAAGAAGGTATGGAAAGAATTGTGTGTGGAAGAAAGGGAATACATGAAAAAGGAAGTATAAAGGGGTGAAGAATGGTGAAAAAATCAATCAGAGAAATGAGAAAATGAAAATACAGATAGAAAACAAACAAAGCGAACTAGGTAAATCAAGAAAGGTACGCCGATGAAAAGATGAAAGTCTGCGGTGTAAATAACTGAATATTGCCGAAATACAATCTCACAGACTCATGAAAGACCCTGTGGTACCTTCTGGGTTGTCGTGTGGGCTCCGTTATGCGACTGCTGCAGCGCGACCTGTTTGGCGACGCTCTGCAGCTGCTGCGACGCGTTCTGCACGATCCCGACCGGTTGCGACTGAATCGTCGCCGCCAGCTGTAAATTACTGGAGTCCAGCGCAATGTAGGAGGTGGGCTGCGCCGGGACGGCAGCTCTCTGCAGGATCTTCGGGGTGGGCGAATGGGTCACAACCGGCTCGGCATGGGCGATCATCTGTGCTTTACTCACTATAACCTGCTGCACGTCCACGATCGGGGCGGTGGAGGTTTTGGCAGCGCTGTCAGTCCCCGCAACATGGACCAACTGCTGTTTGGACAGTTGCTCGATTAACTGCTGCTGCTCCTCTGCAGATAATCCTGAACTTTCCACGAAGCTTCCGTCAGGCTGCACGTAAATGATGGTGGTCGTAGGTGCGAGCGCGTTTAAGACTTCCCCGCTGACAGTGGCGCATTCAGCGGTCACACCGGCCTCTGCGGTGGCCTGAACATAAGACGTGATAATGCTCGGGTCGGTAATCACCTCACCGCTTACGATCTGCCCGATCACCTCCTGAGTAACGTTCCCCTCCACAACTCGGACATCCACTGCAGACTCGGTGTGCATCAGCTCGACCAGGCCTTGATCAACGCCCCCTTCCGCGGCGGACGGCGTTTTGCTGGCGTCCTCTTGTATATTTCCCCTTTCGGTCGCGGGTTGTGTTGTTTCAGGTTGCGGTAAAGATCCGCTCGCGCCGGAATTGCCCATTTTCGCCGCTGCAGATTTGGACGCGGAATTATTATCGTCTTCATTGTCCGCCATTTTGTTTACAGGAGCAAAACTTGCTAGCTGACGTAGGAATCCTCACGGCAGGGCGAAAGGGAGCCGTTTGCTTGCAGAAATAAATATTGAAAATATGAGCAGCGTATGAGGGATTGAGTCAAAGGCCGGTCCAAAACATTTCAAATGTGCAAAACTGTTATAATCCAGAGACGCTCAAAAATGTAACGGTGGCCATGCAATTGGTGTTCCCGTCCATGCCACTGATGACGCGAGCACGGAGGATGGGTAACAACAAATTACGTCATTTCCGTTTTTAGCGCGCCGCTCTGCCCGTTTCCTTTTTAATAATCATGTTTTCTCTTTCTCGTTCATTTTAAATAATTAAAATGAAGTATATTTTTTGTGTATAATTAAATAAAGTAGCGTTTTATTAAACTCGACAGGCTCCTAGAATGTAATATAATGAAATTACATTGTGGTGTGAATGTTCTTGATTTTAGGAGAAACATAAGGACAGATCTCTCGAAATGTATGCAGAATACTGTTGGACAATAGCAACAACTAACCTGAGAATGAAAATTTTATTTCTAAACATTTATAAGAGACACTGCTGCAGGGAAAGCTGTTTTGTCTTATAATACAAATATAGTGGATTTATTTGTGGATTGTTTTATTAGAACAGATAAAAGAAATTAAAGCTATAAATATAAATATAAACTAAGCTAAAATTGGAATGGAGCAAATAATGCATTTCTCCCGCCATGTAATTATTTATTTAGTGCAAACCACCAGCAGAGGTCAGGAAGTGATCACTTTTAGAATGTTTATTCACATGTGTCGCTAGGCCAACCCGCCACTAGGCGGCCCCACAACCCGCTTTGCCCGATTTTACAAACAAAGCTTAGTCAAAAATGTTTTTTACTGCAGTGTTAGTGTATGTTTATGAAAGTTATGTCCTCATTTAATTAATCCTAGTTTAATATAAGTTCTGCACATGTCATCTTAAAAATCAAGAAGATACTAATACAGAAAAAAAGTCAATGGAAGGAAAATCATTAACATTAACCCAGTATTTGTTGCTTCCCTTTTCATATAATTTTTAAAATATTTATTTATTAATTATTTTTTTTTCAGCTAAGTTCCTTTATTAATCTGGGGTGGCCACAGCGGAATTAACAGCCAACTTATCCAGCACATGTTTTACACAGCAGATGCCCTTCCAGCTGCAACCCAACACTGGGAAAGACCCATACACTCTCATTCACACACTCATACACTACAGACAATTTAGCTTACCCAATTCACCTGTACTACATGTCTTTGGACTGGGGGGAAACCGGAACACCCGGAGAAAACCTCATGAACAGGCAAACTTTACACAGAAATGCCAACTGACCCAGTTGAGGCTCGAACCAGCGACCTTCTTGCTGTGAGGTGAGAGCGCTATCTACTGCACCACCATGTCGCCTTTTAATGTTTATTTTAATTATATATTTTTTCTTATTGATTTTATTATTAATGGATCAGTCTTTGCATTGTATAAAGTTAATTCTGAGCATTCTTAATGAAGGTATATCTTAATACCAAGTAATATTGCATTTTCACTTTTAGCTAATTATTGTTCACTATCGTTTAATTGCAGAGTTTTTGGAATTTATTATTCTTTTTTTCAATGAAGAAAAAAAACTCAACCTAGAACAGTTTATAGAATATTTAATCGGTTTGCTAAATTAATAGAAAATTTTTTTAACACTGTAAAAGGAAGCAAAGTAGGAATCACTGGTCCCTTTATTCAAGATTGATTAATTCTTCAATTTCTGAAACTGCTAGTTGATAAAAACAGTGCTTTTTTAAAATGTCCAAATCATTCAGACCAATATAGAAGAAGAAGAAATGGGGCAAATCTTTAAGCTTTACTTTTCTGTTTCATTCATTGTATTTAAAAATTAATACAATATGGATCAAAATTAGATTGTCTTGCTGGTTTGCAATGGCAGAACTCCACTATTCAGAGCAAGGTAGGCCCCCTATGTACAGGGCCGGCCCTGGTCAAAACACTGTATACCTAAAGGGAACTAAATCTTTCTCACCACTTTATTGACAACATTAATGTGCCAAACATACCTTGAATACTGATATCACAATAAATATAACATGGAGTCTATCGAGCAAACACATAACCATAAAAATTAAATCCCATTCAGTCAATCAGATTTTAAGTGTGTGTGTTTGTGTGTGTTTGTGTGTGTGTGTGTTTTAACAAAGTGATGTATACAAAATATTGTGAATATTATTCAAATCTTTTCCTTTAACTAAATCTTACTAAATATCATACAATGAGTTAAAAAATTTTAAAAATCAAATTGAGTTTTTTGTTTTTAAATTATTATACTTAGATTATTTTCCCAGTGCTGATTGTGGCTGGAAGGACATCTGCTAAAACATATGCCAGAATAGTTGGTAGTTCATTCCACCGTGGGGATTCCTGATAAATAAAGTACTAAGCCAAGGGAAAATGAATGAATTTGATTATAATATTCATTATTTCATTATTTTTTTTCTAAATTTATATATATGCCTATACATTTTTTTAAATTAATATCAAAATATGAAATAAATATAGATTGGGCATGAACTGAAGTCGGTCAGCAAAGACAAAAGTATACAGAAATCAATTCAGATCAAATACGTTTAACTCAAAATGAAATGTATCTGACAGATGTATTTTACATGAAAATAATTTCTTAGTTCAGCTAAGAAAAATGTAAATTTCAGATATTTAAATTATCTGCTTTTCTTAACGACACAGCAGCAGGATCATCACAATCTGATTAAGAAATCACTCATAAGACAGCACAGATTTGCCACTAAGATAAATGATCTTAACTCTGATAATCTTCAGATCACAGATGAGTCCAGTTTACTCCTCCTAATGGTTACCATTAGTAAAACCGTGGGATTACGAGTACTTATTTCAGTGAGAGTGCCTCAAAGAGCTGTGATAAAAATAAGAAACTGGTAATCACCACAAACAGCTTATAAGAACAAAGATCAAGACCAAAATGTCCTAATAATAAGATGTGATCTTATTATTAATTATCTTATTTTTAGATGATCATTCAACAATAAATGTGGAGCAATTTATATGTTAAAATAATTAAAACCCTTTATGCCACAAAAGCTTTATTGTTTGAAGAGCATTTCACTTAATATCAAATTCCTAGATATAAAGCAATGTAGCGAAATATAAAAAGGCTAATATGCCTGACAGGATCACTGGGTGACAGAGATGTCAGAAAAGCGGATAGAGATACAGTGTATTCTGTTGCGCCGTAAGCCTAGCCTTATCACCCCAGATGTCAACTAATTAATTACGCAGACACTAAGTAAATTAAATTAGGATTGAATTAACAGTGTGTATCAATAATCTGCTGACAGGCCTTGATAATAAGGGCATGGAAAGGATCAACGGTCCAGATGAAACAGAGAGAGTGCGGACGCCTCTAATCAGCACAAATCCTGATTGATTTCACAATTTACGGATTAGTCCAAGGGAGGCCTATATATTTTTATTTATTAGGGTTAAACAAGGCCATTTTTATGGATGATATTTAATTGTGTACAGTTGTAAGATAATTGCCATGCTTTTCTCTATCCTGTTATGTGAGGATTTTAAATTCTAAAAAAAATCCAAGACTGCTAATAACAGCTACAGTAGATACATAGCTAATAACTACAGACAGATAGACAAACAGCGCGAAAGATAGATGGACAGATAGAGAGACAGATGGGTAGACGGAAAGATGGATGAATCGATGGACGGACAGACAGACAGATAGATGGTTGGAGGGACATACAAATAGATAGACGGACAGATAGAGGGGTGGACAGACAGATAAATGGACAGACAAAGATAGATGGACAGACAGATAGTCATACAGATGGATAGATAGATGAACAAACAGACAGATGGATGGATGAACAGAGACAGATGGACAGATAAATAGACAGACAGACAGACGGACGGACGGACGGACGGACAGATAGATAGATAGATAGATAGATAGATAGATAGATAGATAGATAGATAGATAGATAGATAGATAGATAGATAGATAGATAGATAGATAGATAGATAGATAGATAGATAGATAGATAGATAGATAGATAGATAGATAGATAGATAGATAGATAGACAGATATATGGACAGATGGATGGATGGACAGACCGACAGATAGATAGATAAATAAAATGAATAATCAGACTGATAGACAGATAAAGATAGATAATAGGCCCATAAATGGACAGATAGAAGAACAGATGGACTGATGGATGGTCAGACAGACAGATAGATACTTAGATGGACAGATGAAACGACAGACACATACATACATTCATACATACATACATACATACATACATACATACATACATACATACTGTACATACATACATACATAAGCTTAACTTTTTCCACATTTCTTTGTTACAGCCTTATTCAAAAATGGATAAAATTAATTTATTTCCTCAACATTCTACACACTCTTAAGGCTTTTGAACCTATCAGGTAACGTGTCACAGCGTCAATGCACTGCTTCAATCTTTCGCTTTCACGCTTGTACTTAGTCATTTTAGCGAAAACCTCAGATCCTGTTGGTTGGTTCCTATTGGTTGTGCACCTTTTTACCAGCTAAGATTGTTGATGCCATTATAACGACACAGATCACACTGCCTAAAAGTGATTGACAGGTGGTTATTTATGTAACTATATTTATTTATGCTATAGATAGTTAATCTGTTGTGAATTAATTCATTATTTATAAATAATTAATTCACCGCCACCTACGACGACGTTGTCATCGTCCATCGCGACATTTTACATTAGACACCATACAATGCCAAATTGGTAGGCATCGCCCAACCCTAATTCAGACTCAACATTGCATATCCTGTGATGTGACTATTGAAGATGCAGACATTGCCATTTCAAAGCTAAAACGATATATTGTGCAGGCCTACTTAAGGCCTATATCTACCTGTGGTTATTTGGGCAAATGGCTATTTTTTTAAAAATCCAAATATTTCTAAAAACATAGGAACTTGATACAACAGTGAAAGAATTAATATAGTTAGTGACCCCTTATATTTCCTCAAACATCGAAACATTACATTAAAATAACTAATTTTCCTTCAAAAATGGCCTGCCCTTACGCAATCGCTAAAGAGATGAATTGATCTTTTCAAAGGATTACCTGGAGTTATCGGAGCAATTGATTGCATACACATTCCAATCTCTATGCCAGTAAAAGAAATCAAGGCTACTTTCTTTAACAGGAACGCCACTCACAGCATCAATGTTCGGGTGGGTATGTTAAATTTATACATTTTCAACATACTGTAATGCTAAAAGATATTTACCTACTGTATGTTAATTACAGATGACTTGTGACCATCAGTGTTTGATCACAAGCCTGGATGCCAGATGGCCTGGCTCAATGCAGGACAACCAAATTTTCGAGAAGTCAAAGTTATGTCAGCGCTTTTAGCAAGGTACAGTAAAACTGCAACTGTAGACAGCACTTCATGAAAATGGAGTGTTATTGTGACGCTGGTCTTTCTGGTGTACATTATCAGGGCTGTTCGAAGGTGTGTTGGTGGGAGACGGGACCTATGCATGCCAGAGCTTTTTGCTGACTTTTTCAAACCAGGCTCAAGCTAGACTCCACTTTAGCCATTTTAAAGGCCCGGCTTAACTGTCTTCGTGACCTGAGAGTGTCACCCTAACGCACGTCTCAGTTTGTGGGTGCATGTACTGTCCTCCACAACATGGCCTCTATAAGGAAGGAGCAGATGTCAAGTGAATGCCAGCAATCCAATGATGTTGTTGACCCTGTTTCCCGGGACCATCCCGCTGGGAGGGGTGTCAGACTTGCCATCACAGAAGAATATTTCATGCAACATTCAATAAAGCAAAATTGACAACACAATTATTTTTTTGCACATTTGCACATTTTTTTTAAATAAACAAACATTAATTTTAAACAAATTAGTCCTTTTTACCTTTTATGTAAAAATCACTTTTATAAGGGATTTAAACTAGGGATGTCAGTTTCTATTTAAATTAACGATCAATTAATCGTTAATCACCACTTCATCATAAACCCAGAGTTTTGAATGATTTGATATATTCATCTAACAAACCACCCAAGCCTTTTCCATTAGGAGAACTACAGTTATTAATAGCCTAGTCCTTATAAGCGATCCATTTCTAAAATACATACAAATCTAGGCTATACTGAAGAATGAGCCGAATATGCAATGTGTTATGGTCCTTGCATAATGATCACAGCCAAATAAGCTAAGCGCTCATTTTATATATGCAAACTATTACAAAGAAGTCTACAGGTTAAATAAAGACGACTCGTCTGAGCTACACAAAGTCATTTGTGAAGAACAGACTTATATGACAGATGACAAAATGTCATTAAAAACTGATGCTTGCTGTCTACAAGGCTACAATATTTAAGGTCATCCATTACGACATGAAGAGGATCTATTGTCAATCTTATGTTTCCTTTTTAATATTAAGATATTTTCTTTGAAATCTGTAATACTACTATCTTCCCTCATTGCTGATAAAATAACCAGCCTTTGTTTTTAAATTTTTTTATTTAAATGTATATTTTCCATACAGTTTGAAGCAGGTTAAACAAAATTGTGTCCAATTTGAGATATTAAGACACTTCCTCCCCTGTACTCGCTGGGACATCAGGGACATCGGCCCTCCAGGACTGAGTTTGGACACCCCTGTTTTAAACAGTCCAGACAGCGGTTTACTTCTTTGTTATGATTCATTTTAAGGAATCATCTCAATCATTTGACAGTACTACCACACACTGGAAGTTTTAGATTCATATTTTGAGGATTATTCTTCATATTAAAATGCAATAAAGTACAATAAACTTTATTCTTTAAAATAAAGATAGTTCACACACACAAAAAAATTTACACACTTTTGTGCCTTTTAAATCTGTATGAATTTCTTTGTATTGTAGGTTGTTTTTGTAAATATTTACTTGCTTTTTTCACATTTAACACAATAATGAATTGAAATCTGTTAATGGTAATTTCTAAGTCAAATTTACATCATTAAGCATTTTTTGCAATAATTTGCATTACTCAATTCAGGATAACCAATAATAACTTTTGTCACCTAATTTGATTCTTCCCCAGGGCCGTAAGTATTTTATGTTTTATGAAATAATCCATTCATTTCATTCATGTGTTTTAGTGAAAGTAGAGCCACCCATATCAAGACAAGTGTTTTTTTTTAAAGATAAAATATTCTTTAAATTAAGATAATTAATAAATATTTTACTAATAAATATTTAATTCTTAATGTCTGCAAGATATTATTTTTATTTATTTATTTGTGTGTGTGTGTGTTTGTGTGTTATATACTTTCTAGAGAAGAGCTAACAGTGGCTGGCATTGGTCTATCTACAACTCCACATAAGCTGTAGTTTTGAAGTTCTTCCGGTCATTCAGGTGACATCTTCTGTCTGGAGCATCAGGCCAATCTCCTGCTGTCCAGAATCAGGTGGTTTGTCTTGGTCGGGGATCTCAGCTGAGACCTGTCCACGATGGGTGACCCTACCGATAGCTGTGAAGTACCAGTGGCGTAGCTCTCAGCATCACTGATGCACACAAGCCCTCACAGCACGTCAAGCTGCAAACCGTGTGAGGGACCCTAACCTACTCTAACCCAACAGCCAACGCTAACAATCACTAATGTGCCAAAACCACTCAGAGGAGGCCAACAATGCGCAAGACACCACCTAGAAAACCTTGCTAAACACCTGCCAACATCCAGCAAACCATCCAAAAGAACCCAAGAGCCAAATATCACCAGCACTGACAATCAGCAAAACATCCAGCAATGTGATGAAAACTTGAATGAAATGTCAAATTTGATGTATTTGTAAACTTATTCTAGAACTATATACAATATTTACAACATGTACATACGTGCCCTTGATCCTCCATCTGGCACTAGGATGGCTCAGTGCCTGGGCTTCTTCCTTCGGGGCTCCTTGGGCAGTGGCTCTTTGCTGATGTCCACAATGATTTGGGGAGGGATGCTGGACCTGGACCTGCTCTCCGTGATGACCACACGTCCATCAGGCAGCACGGTCTCCAGCAGTACAGGCCGGTCCAGCTTCTCCCACAGCCGCTGCTTGATCTCCAAGCCCCACTGAAGGTTGTAGCGGCCTCGGCGTCTCTTCATGGTGGAGCCCATCACACTGTGGTAGATGTGCTGATATTCCTGCACACTCCGGCCGTGGATGGAGAGCGGCTCCTCCTGCGGACACTCACCCACCGAGGACACTGATGCTGCGGGACGGAGGACAGGAAGGACAGCTGCGTTCCTCAGGTTTTTCTCCTCCAGTGAAGGATCCGATATGCAGCTGCAGGTGTCCGGCCTGGCCGCTGCTGCGCTCTCCTCAACGGAAGAGACGCGCTCCAGCAAGAAGTCTCTCAGGTCACCAGGAAGAGCCCTGGTCCTTCTCGAGCGTCGCAGTGCCATCACAAACTCCAAAACAACTTCCCAATGTAGACAAACAGGTGAAACTCAGTCAACAGGAGATTTGTTCAGTTTTGTAGTGCGATGATCAGGATTGATAACTTGAAGTTGTGTGGATTTTTAAACCAACTCCAGTTGCCATGGGGGTTCAGAATGACCAGGGTCGTTTAAATGTAAACAATAATTGATATCCGCGTTAAGTCAATTAGAGCAGCAAGAGATGTATGTTTGTGCAGTGCAGTTTTTGTTAAATGGTAATAAATGCTGAAAATATCTTTCTATTTAGTAGGTATAATAATAGAGGGCCCATATACCTGATTAAATAAATACTGTCCCAGTTTTTCTTTATTATGATATTTGAACTTTGAACTTGAAAGTCGTCATACGTTTCCACGTCAGAAATTTAGCCATGTTAGCAGAGGTGATGTGACCCAAAGGTGATATTGATATAATTATTTACGTTTTTAAGGAATTAAATTAATGTATAATTCCTTAAAGCATTGGCAATTAGTTCCAAAACAACGTCTTAAAATAGTCAGTCCTTTTTAAACAAATCTCACCTACACATTAATCCTGTGAGTAACGCCACAACCAGAGAGGGTCTGGGTTGGGTTTTTGTTGGGTTTAGTTAAATAAAACGGTACACTTCAATATTCATAATCTATCGAGCATATACTACAATAAAGTCAGTGTACAATTCACAATTTTTAAACACTAACAATCACTTTTTGGGGGAAAGAAACACCTTCTATTAACTTTTAACTTCTTTTTAAGCACAGTAAAAACAGTCCAATTATTATTATTATCATCAATATTTATTAACATTTGACTAGTTTTTTGTTCAAGATTCTTTGATAATTAAAAAGATCCGTTCCAATATCTACCTAAAATAAAAAGCTTTTGTAATATTGAATACATCTGAGCGAATATCATTTTCTGGCGTTTTTAAAAATCTTATTTTTAAGCATTACTAAAAGTAGTAAAGCATACACAATGCATCTCATAACGGTATGATGGATGAGTGTGCTCCATGCAGGTGAGTGAGCTTGACAACCACCTGCAGGACACACTTCTCCTAAGGCCCAACCCCCTTAGCCCTTACCCCTCGTTTTGCACATTCCTGTAAAGGGGTAGGGGTGTCCCAATTCTCTTTAGTTTGAAGGCCTAGGGCTAAAGGGAAGGGGTATACACCCTTTTGAAAAGAGATTTTTCAGGACCACACGTTAACTGAAAAAAACTAGCGGAAAATTCGGGGAAACACACATAAAAACAAACAAATACCTTGGTCCAGCATGGACAGAAGAATGTGTCCGTGTCTGAGATTTTCACCATTGCAATGGTTTATCTGTCAGCGGTCTGCTATTACGAGAAGCGCCACCTGGTGGTGACTGGATCTGCTGTAGCTAAAGTGGTAAACTGCTGCATTAATTAATTCAGATCTTTTGTAAATTTAGATAAATATTGATACTTGGTGCCAGAGTATGTATTGCGGCAGTAAATAACATGAAAAATTGGCATAGGTTTTGTCCCACCTCTAATCCACAACCCAACAAACTAAATCTAACACGAAAGTTGCTCAGTCATTTCATGCACTCTTGGGAGCCCCCTGGTGGCCACAGGGCCATAAGCAGCCGCTTAGTTCGCTTATGCCTTGGGCCGGCCCTGGCCTCAAGACAATCCTTTGTCTTCATACTTGGTTTGTGCTTTGAAATGCACTGTCAACCCTGGGACCTTATATGGACAGGTGTATGCCTTTTCAAATCATATCCAATCAACTGAATTTACCACAGGTGAACTCCAATTAAGCTGCTGAAACATTTAAGAATGATCACAATTTAGAGCTTCACAGCAAAGGCTATGAATACTGATGTACATGTGATTTTTCAGGTTTTTTTTATTTTTAATAAATTTGCAACAATTAAAAAAATATATTTTTTCACATTGTCATTATGGTGTATTGTGTGGAGAATTTTGAGGAAATAAATGAATTTAATCCATTTTGGAATAAGGCTGCCACATTAAAAAATGTGGAAAAAAGTAAAGCGCTATGAAAACTTTCCGGATGCACGAGATAGATAGATAGATAGATAGATAGATAGATAGATAGATAGATAGATAGATAGATAGATAGATAGATAGATAGATAGATAGATAGATAGATAGATAGATAGATAGATAGATAGATAGATAGATAGATAGATAGATAGATAGATAGATAGATAGATAGATAGATAGATAGACAGACGGACAAACAGACGGACAGACCAACAAATAGATAAATGAAGAGATGAATAAATAGACAGACAGAAAGAGAGACAGACACATGGATGGACAATGTAGACAGAGAGATGGGTAGACAGAGAGAGACAGATAGACAGGGGGGATAAAGGGTATTAGTTGTGCAGAACTATCCTCCATCAGAGCACCTCATCACGGGCTGCTCTCCTGCTCTCCTCCATATGTCTGTTCTGAATCACTCCTGCTGTTTAATCTGCTCAGATTGAGGCCTCTCAACTGTGTCGGATTACACTCAATGACACACAACTGTTTAGGCTTCATGCAAACCATTGTTATTCTCAGCTCGACAGAGAAAACCATTGAAAAATGCAACAAAGAAAATGAATTTAATGCAAATGTGAATTTTGGGTATTGTTTAAAACAGCAACATATATGCCAAGTTATTATTACCTGCTGCTCTGTGTAAAAGATTGAAGAAATTGATGCATTTTATGTAGTTCAATTTTAATTAAAACACGCTTGATGTAAAACAGGTTAGTACCATTCATCCTTTTTTTTTTTTTAATAATTTGTATTGGATTTTACATGTTACGAAAAAAGCACATAATAAGACTACAGTACATTCATGTAGAGTTCAAACAATACTGTAGCAGGCTATCTTCATTTACAATATATACAGCAGTACACACTATAGTAACTATTACAACTGTACAAAATGAGAAGGGAAAGCACTGAATCCTGTTGTTTGGATGTTCAGTTGGACTTATTTTCTGATCATGACAATATTACTTCATACTGAAATGAGATTATATTCAAATGAGGTATTCTGCAAACAGCACTGAGGAGGAAACCTTCATGATCAAATGAGACCTTTATAGGAACACCCAACTGAAAGGAAAAAAACTAAGATTTCCTCTACTGACTGACATTCATTTTAGCATCTAGAAAGACAGTGATATTAAAAAAGCAAATTCAATATATACCTCACTGATGATGTAGACAAACAGGTTCACCCAGAATACAAACGAAAGGGCCTAAATTGAATCTTAAATGTATATTTCACACAAAAATGAAAACGTACTTAATCTCTAGTGTTTTTTTTTTCATTCATTGATTAATTTTCTTTCAACTTAGTCTATATTTCAGGAGGTCACAACAGCAGAATGAACCACCAACTTTTCCCGCATATCTTTTACGCAACAGATGCCCTTCCAGCTGCAACCCAGTATTGGGAAACATACACACACAAACACTACGACCAATTTAGTTCATTCAATTTATCTACAGCGCATGTCTTTGGACTGGCAAGTCTTTGGACTGGAGGAAACCAATGCAATCTCATGGCAATTCATAACTTTTTGATTTAGTGGCTAATTTGTATGCATTCTTACAATCGAATTCGTACAATTGTGTACGATTTGCTCATTACCCAATGCCGGTTAGGGTCAGGGGTGGGTTCCATGCCTCCTTTTTAAAATTGTACATTTTTGTACGACTGAACTCGTACGAATTCATACGAATTAGCCACTAAACTGACAAAATGTAAAATACTAACGTTTCCTCGTGAGATCACAGGGAGAACATGCAAACACCACACAGAAACTCCAACTGGCCCAGTCGGGACTCGAACCAGTGACTTTTTCTTTCTGTGAGGCGACAGTGCTAACCACTGAGCCACCTTAGTTGTTTTTTTATACACTAATTAAGACACTAAATAAAAAGTTGTTTTTTAGGGTTTTTTTCAGCTATTATTGAGATAATATAGTGGAAGACAGACGAGAAAGCATTGGGAGCAGAGAGAGGGGAAGGATGGGCATAGAACCTCGAGCCGGAAATCGAACTTGTGTCGCCTTGAGCATTATGGTGCTATTTGTTGGCGCACTTACCACTAAGATGTAAACCAATTGACTTCCATAATGCATATCAGCCTGATCACACGAGAAAACGTAAGTATTTTACGTTTTGTCAGTTTAGTGGCTAATTCGTACAAATTTAAGTTCAGTCGTATGAAATTATATGATTTTAAAATGCAGGCGTGAAACCTAACCCCACCCCTAAACGCAAACTCATTGGGGGATGAGCAAATTATACTAAATTGTACAAATTAGATCACACAAATTTATATGAATTAGCCACTGAATCAAAAAGTTACGAATTTCAACATTCTTCAAAACATCTTCATTTGTTATAAACACAAAAAAGAAACTCAGACACGAGTAAATGCTGAGTACATTTTCATTTTAGGGAAAAACCTAATAGAACTGGCTTAGAATGGAATAGAATGGCTTATTACAATGTGCTTTGTGGTTTTATTGAGTAAGGTGTATATATTAAATTAAATCTATTAATATAACTGTCTTTAACGCACAAGCCCAAGTCAAGTGTTTTTAAGTGATTGAAATACTGAAGCAGCTGCTGTAACTCAATCTCAGATGCTCAAAACAAATGTTGTTCAGTCTCATACATTTCTAATTCTTCATTTAAATGATGATCTATACATGGCTCATAACAAAAGTGACTGAAAACTAGGATCTTAAAAAGAAGTTATGGCTGAGATTTTTGTAGGCCTCTGTTTAAAAAAGGCTATCAACCTGTTGCATGGATGAACCAATGCTACTATCAAAATACTGTACATTTCTAAATGCTGCTGACCTGCTAAAGTGAAGAATTAAAAGTCCAGTGTTGAGGATGAGAAAACAGCCCAGACATTTTCTACGCTTTATGCTGTTACAGTGCAAGATCTAAGAGCTCTTTTCCTCTTCTTTTGCGTCTATCTGTTCGCTGGACTTCTCCTCTGTCACCGTTGTCTCCATGTTATGCTCTAGTCTCTCTGAGGAAACTGTTCCAAGCACTTTGGCGCTGTGCTCCTGCGCTTTTGCCCTGAGAGCAGCAATGCTGTTCTCCCTCAGTTCCTCTTTGGACATTGGTGACTCTGTCCTCCTTTCCTCAGCCTCGGCCTCGTCCGGTTTGGGATTGGTCGGTGTCTGAGTGACATCTGACTTCTCGTTTGATTGGTGCCCAGCCGTCTCCAAGGACTTCTTGTGCATCCCTGCAAAGAATGGTGGGTATTCGTGTTTAGAAAAGCAGCTGGTGGTAGGAAAACCATCTTGTACTGGAAATAGCAAGAGACAGATTTTAGATTTAGTAACAGCGCTTGACTAATCGGAGCTATGAGATTCACGCAATTACATTTAAATAAATGGATAATAAAAAAAAGATGAATGAATATACAAAATTGTTATGTGGTAATCATTTAATAATTTAAGAATACTTTCAATAATGATTTAAAGAGATATTACACCCAAAACTAAAAAAAGTAATTGTTTACCATCACTCTACATGTTCCAAATCAGTGTTTTTTTTCTTCTGTTGAACAGAAAAGAAGATATTTTGAAGAATGTCGGAAACTCATTGACTTTCATGTTATTTTTCCTATATATGTCACCAGTTTAATTCTGACTTTTTGTTTTTACAATTTTGTAAAACAGCTAATTATTATGCTAAATTTAACAGATTAAAGGCATTTCCTTTGGTAGGTGAATCTGATTTAAAATTTTAAATAAATTATGCATTTGATTAACAATTTGCTGCAGGTTATAATTCATAATAAGGTTTTTTTTGATAAAGCAATGCTGTGTATTAGAGATTTGATGCAGATCTGCTTTTGTTGCATCTTTGTGATCAGATTTCATGTATATATTAAATTTTAGTAGCGATAGTTAATAAAGGAAATACAGTGTTAAGAATATTAACTTATCAGAGAAATCTAAACATAAAAATGTAATGTGTATGACAATGTTTCATGTCATTTAATGTTCATTGTTAAACGCTATAATTAGTTTAATTAGTTTTCATATAATAAATTACAAACTTAAATTTATTTAATTAAAACTTCTTAATTTTAATTGCAATAATTGTAAATAAAGACTTGAATACATAATCATTATGATATAAACAAAATACAAAAAAAAAAAAAGAAAAATCAAATAATGATGCATAATGAGGCAAAGAAGAAGACTTAATCTGCTCTGACATACCTAGAAGCCAGGGGGCACAGGAGTCCATGATGCCATCTTTAGCAGATTTGAGTATAGACTCGGGCAGAGGGATAGAGTGACGCACCATGGCGCCGTAGAGCCCGTATTCCGCCATCACGCTACTGCGACCCCAACACTTCTCCCGCTTCCTCCACTTGGCCCTCCGGTTTTGAAACCACACCTGTTTACAATCAAATGTAATATTATAGATAAGTATCCTAAACATTGCTGAAAAGTGTACAGACGGAATGACAGACATGTTTAATGGTTTGACGATGTCATTCGGGCATCTTCGTAGTGCTCAGGTCTAATTAACTGATGGGGTTTGAGCCCTCATGCCTCGTTTTCGAACTACTCATACGAAAACGACACTTAGTCACATAAAAAGTGAGGGAAACTAAACTGCTTTTTTCTGTGTACATATTTCTTTCATAGTTTTATTTCCAGATATAGGCCTATAAAAAAATAAATTATGCACTGAATATATATATATATATATATATATATATATATATATATATATATATATATATATATGGATTATTTAGGCCTACACCATTTTAAATGCAAGTGGATGCAAACAATTCATAAGGGCTGGATTTAAACAAATTAAACGTAGTAATGTTCAACTTAATTTGTTTAACTTAATTTGTTGCATTGGATTTACAAATATTTATGGTAAGGCATTTTATGGGCTGAATTTAAACAAATTAAGTTGAACATTACTACGTTTAATTTGTTTAAATCCAGCCCATAAAATGCCTTACCATAAATATTTGTAAATCCAATACATATTTTTTCAGCGCGTTGTACAAAACATTACAAACATTTTTCTCTTACAAAAAACGCTAAATAATACTCATCATCAGAGGGAAAACAAAATAACAAACAAAAACGCATTTAACTAAGGAATGGAAGGTATACTCAATAAAAAGCCCATTTTTTGTGTGTGTAGGGGAAAGGATAATGGCCTTTCACAAAATAATTAGATTTTTTGAAAGAACGTAGAATAAATGCAAAAAAGAAAAGTCTAAAAAGATCAATTAAACAAACCAACAAAACAAAACACATCTTGCTTTTTTAATGTTCAATAAATGGCCACACATTTTCCAATGTGTGCATACAATTTATATATAATTGTATGTTTAACTATGATATCCGTCACCTCTCAATTACTATCTTGTATTATCGAGCAAACAATTTGAGCAGGCAGGCACCATGGTGTCCATTTCAGATAAACGAGCCGATGCGCAAAGTGCCCCGCGGTTGAGTTGTGTCAGGATGCGGCGCGAGCGCAGGTTGATCAGCCGCTTAACCAGCACTTGCCCTTCACTAATTCTAGCTGCCAGCAGAGCTGACGGGGAGGAGGGGCTCTGGGGCCAGAGAGGCCAGACATTGGATAAGAAATTATCAAAACCATTTTCCAATCTTTTCTGGTAATGCCGATGATGATAGCCCTCATTTCATGCAAGCTACTTTTTGAGGAGAAATTGGTTATCGGGCGCTCAAAAGAAAGCGAGTGGAGACAGCGATGAGAGACGACCCCAAGGGCACGCAGAAGCTGATTGAAAAATAAGTTAATTTCGAGCCCAATCGATGGTGGACAGGCGGGCAAATATCACGGGAAATTAAACGAGCAGGACCCAAGAGAGCAGAGCCATTGACCCGTGCTAATAAATTCAATGTAGTTATTTCATTTGAACTCCCCACATCTCGCCACATCCCTTCCCTTGGAACACGGCGAGCTTTTCTCATTTAACTAATTACACTCGATGAGAAAATTAGATGTTAATTTTACTTTGGATTGGAATAGAATTATTTATTTATTTCCTTATTATTTATTCACCGAGAGGCTCCGTAATGAGAAGGAAATTAAAAGGCGTGCCAGCAGATGGATGGTTCAGGTCACACAGTAATCTTCTTCCGCCTTGATTGCTTGATTAGGTCGTTAGCGCCTTTCTCTCTCAGCGCGTGCACACACACACACACACACACACACACACACACACACACACACACACACACACACACACACCCTCTCTCTCTCTCTCTCTCTCTCTCTCTCTCTCTCTCTCTCTCTCTCAGCAAATTGTTTCACATCCAACTGAGGCTGATGAGATATTATCTGTCCGAGGGATGCTGGACTTGATCGATATAGTCAGTGTGCGAATTGTACAATGACTTTTAGGGTGGTCTATTATTTTAAAGTAGACCCCCTATTTTATAGCAATTTCAGGATTTTGTCATCCTTTGGTCATCCTCTGGTCATCCTCTTACGTTTTCCTATTTAATTATAATTCATTTTCGAGGCACCTATTATTTCTGCTACAGATGAAAATATGCATTCTGACGACTTTATTAACGCTATTATTAAAAATAAAAAGCTTGCTGAAACCTTTGTACGGAAATAGGTTAAATCACATCTTTATAAAAAGCCTACTAATTATAGGGGCATTTTATAGGCATTCGCATATTTCACAATTCACACTAAAAATAATTTCTATACCAACCACGAGTCGACTATAAGCCACAAAACAGTATTTTTAGAGTCCCTTTAGAGTCTCCATCTCCTAAATTCATATATTTATTATATATAAAGGCATAAATGCAATGTAAGACGTAATGGGATGAGATTATGACCTTTAAAAAAATTCACATAGGATAATTTCATTTCATTACATTATTGCTTTCTCTCGCTCTCTCTCTAAATTGTAGATAGTTTTAAAATAATAAGCTAGTCATGTTATTGTGAAATAAAATCTGCTGTGGAATGTGCCTTTGAAATAAACCAAAACATTTGGTTGAAAAAAAAACTGCCGTATCGAGGTAATTTCAACTACAATATACACTCAATTACAAATGTTGTTTAATGAGAATAATGAATAAAACATCGAACACAATTTTCTAATTTATTTTGGAGAACAGTATCGGCACCCAACAAATAGCAGCTACATAAACAGAAAGAAAAAAAAAAGATCCATGAATACGGCCGCATAAAAAAAATATAGGGACGAATTTGTATTCTAGAGCAGTAGTTCTCAAACGTTTTTCATCAAGTACCACCTCAGAAAAATATTGTCTCTCCAAGTACCACCAAAATGAGCAGTGTTGAAATAAAGTAGCACAGTAGGCCCAAGTAAAGCAGCTACAACTCTGCACAGTTAAAAACGTGGCAGATTACATCAGAAATATAGGTTATATGTCATATATTACATATTATATACATCATTTTTGATACATTTTGAAATGTGTGTAGCATACATGACATATTTCATTCCTCCGCGTACCATTAGAAGGAAGCCTGCGTACCACTAGTGGTACATGTACCACAGTTTGAGAACCACTGTTCTAGAGCATATTGTCTGTTCCTTTTAATTTAAAGGGGATTGTATAATAGCACAGTTCGTTTCCTACCTGTATTCTGTCCTCCGGCAGCTCGGTTTTCATGGCCAGCATTTCTCTGGCGTACACATCCGGATAATGAGCCTCGTTAAAAGCTTTCTCCAGTTCTTCCAGCTGGTAAGATGTAAATATTGTTCTATATAAAAATAAATTTGTCAAAGAAAATCATCAGAATCAGTGGAAAGATTACGAATAATTAAATTCTCATTTAGTCTGTAATTCCAGAAGACATCCGCAAAAGCTAAATGTCTATGTCATTGTCTATAAAGCATATTCGTGTTTTAAAAATATCACGAAATTTAGCCATTTATTATAAGCATTTTCCCTTACAAAAAATTGTTTACCACTAACGAAATTAGACAGATAAAAATAATATAAATTGTTTTTATAAACAATACTGTAGGCTATTAATTCTGTTAATTGAAAATCAAATATTTCCAATCAAAAACAGCCAAATGCCTCCTATAATAAACAACACAGCCTAAATGACCTATTAGGCTACCGCTATATTATTATTTAGAGGAGGAAAAGCATGAATATTTGCTGAATTGAAAATCCAATCAGCAATTAAGTCGATAGGCTACGAAAAATATATATTTGTAATTAGCTCTTGAAAAAGAGGCAACTATTTGAGAAGCCGCAGTTTCTCAGTCTAATATTTTACCAGTTGCCTTTAATCTGGTTTTGATCGTGAAACGACGAAAAGAACACAATCTTCCAATTCTTGTAAATAAAATATAAATTAATCTGTTGTTTTGGGTGTTTTATTTCGGACGCAACGGAAACAAAATAACGCTTAAGATTACGATGTATTTTCTTTAAGCCCACCTGTGTCGTCTCTTTTTTCTCTTCTTGCTCTGGCTCAGTGAAGACTTTGACATTTTCCTTTCACTTGAAGAGACATCATCTGAATCTGTAACATGGAGGAAATATTATTCAAAATGGCAGAACTTGTTTTCTCTTTACAATGCAGACTATTTTATTTGACAACAGTTTCAGCCCTTTTCATTTTAATTTGTGGACGAGGATATTAAATGTCCGGAATTAAGGGGGAAGGGGTGGGGGTTAATGCATTATTAGCTTATTAACAGTAGCTAACTAAACAAAATGGCAACAGGTTGCAGATACAATTTACAATAAAAACAACAAACAATTATACACAATGTAGCTAGGCCTATTTAGGCCTATTATAAAGCATTTTGCCTTAGTGAAAATTACAGTTTAGCACCAACGAAAAAAGACATTTGTGACACACAAGGACAAGCCCCGAGTGGGCCATGACGATGAATGTGGCAGGCATGTACCCCGTACCTGAGCTGGCAGACTGGTTATGTTCCAGCGGCCCCACCGTCCTGCTGAGCGGCTGGAGGTGCACGTTCTGCGCGTCTGACAGAACCTCCAGAAACGCGGGCTGACTGTAGAAAGACGGAATACCTCCAGGCCCAATTAATCCCATCCCGACCCCAACACCGACACCAGCCGGACCGAGCATCGACCTGCTGGCCAGAAGGTGCGCCCCGGCGGGGAAGGAGTCCAGTGTGCTCCGTGGGGCCGAGGACGGCTCTTTATTTAGTCCCAAGATCTCCTGAATGCCGAAACCCGTGCATTTTGGCGGATGTGTGATGCTGCTCTTTGACAGATGTGGATTGTTATTTCCCCCGTTCTCGGTGGCACACAGCGATTTTGATTTGTTCAAACTTTCCGACAAAACAGCCCCATCCTTTCCTGTCATTGTGCCTCTGAGACTATTCCCTTCTTTGCTTTCGAGTCGGTCCCCTGTGCACAGGCATCCGAGGCGCAATACGCATGATCCCTCTAGAAATTCTCCTTTTATCCAACAGGTCCATCCCAACAAGGGTCAAAACTCAACAGCCAATCAGCGGCGACTTAGCGATTTAGAATTCCAGAGGATACAGGATACTGCTCCCCCTATTTATTATGCATTATATCATTTCATTCGCATCGCATTTTGGTTGTAATTATGTGTTAATTTGACACTTAACTAAAATTAGCAAATAACAATTTGGAATTAAATTAGCATGAATAAAAGTAAGCTAATTAAAAAAAAACGTTAGATGCTTGATTATATATGTTTTATTTTTACAAGCTTCATAAATAGCCTACGTTATATTACTATTAAAAACGTCATGAGTATTTTTGGAGTGTAGTAGCTACATCTAAAAAACAAGTAAGTGCGCTGGAAAATGTCTGAAAAGAAAAAGACATCTGGACGAGGGAAGCGCACAACGTAAGCAACAGAATCCGACTGATATGGTTGCAATAATCATTGAGAGACGTAAATATAATAATTAATTATTTGAAAAGCAAAATAATATTGGAAAAGCATTTTGTAAGATCACAAGTGCAAAAAAAAGTAGAAATCTCAGGGTCATTCAAATTAGAATGATACTTTTAAAAGTTAAAGTCAATATAAGGAATTTATCAAACATGAACAAAGTTCAACAAGTTTTTTTTTATTTATATTTATTTGTTTTTAATCAGATCAAATAAAGTGAGACGAAATTGCTTTAGTTTCAACTAATAAAAATAAATAGGCAGCATTACATTAGCAATTGAAGATATTTCATGAAACGATTTGCCTTAGGAAAAAAATTATATATATATATATATGTTTAAAATATTCAAAAGACTTATTAAGGAAAGAGATAACACTGGATGGATGGCTAACCTAGGGACAAAACTCCTGTAGATATGAATGTTTGGATTTATTAAATCATTACTTTGTGTTGTGTTCTGAACAGACTGCAAAATATAGCTTATTCTAATTACATCCAAGTTTTTTTAATACACCGAGGTCTAATCAGCTATTACTAAATTACAGAGGGATTTTGATTCGTTTTGCAGATAATTTGTGGCACAATTTGGACATCTGGACAGATAATTACTGGGAGATAATTTATGGAAATGAGCAGCGAGCCGTTGATGGAGACAGAGATAACACCAATCTTATCAAAGTGCCATGTGTTGATGCATAAATAAACGTCATGATTCATAGGACAGCAGCAGCAGAACGTCAGACGCGTGGCGTCAGAAACACCGAGCGCGCGCTCCCGCGGGATCACGCCTGATATGTTGCTTTTCTGGCCAATTACAAACACCGAACACTTGAAAATAGTTTATCATATTAAAGTAGCCCGATAACAACCCAATACTAAAGGTGCACGGTATTATCCTATTTGGATTGCTAAAAGGAATAGTTCACCCAAAATGAAAACTGACTCACCATTTTCTCACGGTTCTATTTTCTTCTGTTGAAGCAAAAAGAAGATATTCTGAAGAATGGTAGAAACCAGCAGCCATTGCCATCCATAGGAAAACAAGACACAGAAGCAAACACTCAAAAGTTCCACAGAAAAAAAAAAAATCAAAATCAAAACGACTTCTAAAGGATTGAGGATGACAACAGATTAAATATTCATTTTTTTGGGTGAATTATCCACTGCAGGTACATAGGTAAAAACAACAAAACCAGACAACCAAAATTGATTGAGTATATCATTGATTATCAGGTTGATAAAATTGAACTTGTATTATGTTAAACTTACTTAAAACAGCTTGCGTAATTTATAAAATTAAGTTAGAACATGATTAACATGAAAAGTTACAATGACCTAAAAGCATATGTTGTCAGGACTAATTGATCAGTGCACTAATGATGCATAAACACTATAAAAATTGACAAAAAGCCATGAAAACAAATGTTTTTATGTTTCTTAATAACAAAATTAAATCAGCTAATAGGTTTTAACTTCAACGTTGAACTTAATATTTTCAGTTTGACAGATGCAAGTTGAGATTGACTAGTAAAGTTCAGTTGATTCAACTAAAATAGACAGCTGAAAGGCATGGCACACACTTGGTGCGACAAGACAAGTGCATTTCGGATGTTTTTTTTCCATTAGCCTACTCTGGAAAAAGACAACTTTTACAAAAACACAAAAAGTCCAAAATCTCAAAATTAGCATGAAATGAAAAACACACGAGCATGTTTTCGCCTGTAGTGTCTCGTCTAAAAAACACAGAAAAGCCATGTGATTTGTGGCCTTATGGGACATTATTCAATTACCCACCCATGCTAATTCTTTGTTGGCCGGGCTCCACGGCAATTACATGAGATGATCATCAAAACTGGCAGCCACACAAAAGTAAACTTTAATCACATATAGGGAAAAATCACAAATGAGCGAGCTTCAAATTTAGACAAACACGCAAGTCGGTGAAAGAGACTATAAAACTTCACGCAAGAGTTTCAGCGTCGCTTCAAAGAATTCACCTCCGCGCCGCCGAGCAAAATATTACAGCTGCAATCACACGGGCACCAGTTGAAACTAATTAGAAGCCATTAAGTGGAAATTTCATTAAGGGTAATGAAGAAATCAATGTTATCAAGATATGCTAATGACGCATCACCCGGTCTAGATAAACCCATCTATTCACAAGGCTCGTGCTCTGTCAAAGCAGCCTGTCAATTACGAACTGCTTCCTGCCCTCTCATAGCCACTGCTTCTGCTGTAATCTGTGGCGGGCTTTGTTGTTTATTGTGAGCGGGAAAAGAGAAAAAAACACTCCACGGCTTTTAATAATCCATCTACATATGAAAATGAATGCATCCTGATTTACATGCATAAGAGGACAAACTAATAAGGCTGTAGATTAAGGAAAGATTTAGTTCAGTCATTCGTGTAGATTGGGTGGCCTATCAAAGACTGGAAGATCTGATGGTGGCAGATTAAAAGGCAAACAGCTGTTGCGAAATTTGTGTTTTTTTTTCCAGTTCTTACTGAATATTCAGTCTCTTGTGAGCTCATGTCTACTTATTTTAAAGGAAATCCGCCGTCGACATTTTTCAAAGGTTGAGTTACTGAAAAAGCGATTGCAGTAGAGCAGGGGTGCCCAAACTTTTTCGCAATGGGGGGCCAAAAGTAGAATATCGAATATTGATAGCCGTTGGCCGAAAATGATTATACAACACTATTTTACATTAAAATTGCCATGAATAACTTCCTAATTGCTTTAATGATATTAAAAAATAAAATATTAAATAATAGGCTAATTATATAAAAATATTAACTCATGCAGTATAACTTTTTTTATTATAACTTATTGCGATTAAAACAATCACATTTAAAACAGTGGAGTTCAATGTTAAGTATTAACAGTCAAGCAGAAGATGCCCTCACCAAAGCCTCTGCTTTGTCTTCTATGCATGTACATTTTTAAACCAAACCTGATTCATTTACACCATTTAAATTGAAAAATTTAATTCATATAGCTTTTTTGTAGCTTAATAATAAAACAAACAAATAAAAAGTTACATTCAATTTGAAATGACAATCTCTAAACCATTCTCAGATGGATTAGCGTGCCAATTTAAAGGTTACAATGGGCCCTAGTTTTGGGCATATCTGTTTTAGACAAACGGATGATGGAAAATTACACCATTTCCTTGACCTCTACATAAAATATGGGATGCAATCCTTTTTTAAAGCTGCTAAAATGAGAGTTTGTACAAAGATAAAACAATTACAGCCTAATGGGATGCATACACACAAAGACGTGTTTTGTATTGAAAAGCTTGACGGCTATTTGTCTTTTACGAATAACTTCTCTCCTTTTTTGCTGCTGGAAGGTCACCGCAAGGTAATGAGCTTTGGGATGGGGCTGTATTATAGGGACATTGTATTGCATTAGTCCGGCCCCTACACAGATTGCTGGTGCTTGATCTTCTCATGCCAGGCAATCTAAATGAAGAATCACTTGTGCTCTTCTGGTGATAATTCTGCATTTGCGATGTATTGGAAGTGATGAATTGTTTTTAATGCTGCATTTTGTTTTTGCTCACCAAGCGCACATACAGTCTGCGGCAAAGACGAGTGATTCTGCTTCTATTGCCCATACCCCCTTTATCCAAAAGCTCTCGTATTTTATAGCCTATTATTCAGCATTTATGTTATTAAAGCATACTTTTTTTTTTTTTTTTTTTACAATAAATACAATCAAAATGACCCTTTCAAACTTTAATATTGTAAAAAATTTTGAAGAGAAAAAAATAATAATAAAAATACAAAAGCATAGTTTCAGGCAAAAGTGCCCAATCATGGCAATCTGATTGATCCACAGAGGTGTAAGGTAACAAATTACAAATACTCAAATTACTAATTGAGTAGTTTTTCTCAGAAATTGTAATTTACCAAGTAGTTTGAAAAACTTATACTTTCCCTTGAGTACATTTCTAGTGCTGTATTGGTACTTTTACGCCACTTTTCTTCCACCTGCAGTCACTACTTTATTATTTCCTGTATATGGAGATTAGAATCAGTCCTGTGTGTTTCTTGTCAAATCAAATCACAAATAATAAGTAAATTGCATCATACTTAACCAGCTTAAGACATGCAGCAAACAGTTTGGAACCATTAAAAGTGTCCAAGAAGATAGTTTACACCAGGGGTGTCAAACTCAATTCCTGGAGGGCCGAAGCCCTGCACAGTTTAGTTCCAACCCTTCTCCAACACACTTACCTGTAGGTTTCAAACAAGCCTTAAGGACTCAATTAGTTTGATCAGGTGTGTTTAATTAGGGTTGGAACTAAACTGTGCAGAGCTGCGGCCCTTTTGGAACTCAGTTTGACACCTGTGGTTTACATTGTTTAGACTGAATTACACTGATGAAAAATGTTAACTGTATGATGACCAAAATGGCCTTAAACAGTACCTAAATGCACTACAATGTTATGTTTACACACACACACACACACACACACACACACACACACACACACACACACACACACACACACGTGCACACAAATTACATGTAAATGCATGTCAAGCTTTCCCAGCGTAATACTCATAATTAATATCACCATAGTACTTTTAAAAGGGCTACTTTTACTTATAATTTAATTAATATTTACAACAGATACTTTAACTCTACTCACACTACATTTTTGGACAAGTAATGGTACTTTTACTTCAGTATGATTTTTCAGTTCTCTTTCCACTGTTGATCCAATGCCATAAAGAAGAGAGAAAGGATGATGGGAAGGGTTGGAGCGAATGCCTTTAACAGAGATCCTAATATCTAATTTAACGTAACATTTTTGCTTTGTTTTATTGTTAAGCTACAAAAAAGATTAAATGTTTCAATTACATGTTTTTAAATGAATACTGTAATTTGATGGATGAAGGACAATGCAGAAGACATCGGCGAGCGAATCAAGGTGTTCTCTTTTTAACTTGACCTTTTTTTCAACAATCAAGTGTGACCTGTAAAGAAAAAAGTTAAAGATGTTTAGGTTAATATAAGAGAAAATACTTGCCCAAAACAAGGTTAACAAGTCATAATGGATTAAAATTACTGCATTACCATAATAACATACACAGAAATAAAAAATAATCCAAATAGAATACATAAAATACACAATCCTGTCTTATATTAAACTAAACTGCCAGTGATGTGTTTTAAGTTACAGCTCAGTTGACTAGGAAACTCCTTTTCCTGAGCCAGTCCTCAGCAGTTTGATAATGGCAAACACCTTGTGCTGAGTAGGTGGAAAATAAACTAGAAACTGTAGTGCTCTTTCCCCTCCCGAACCGACAAGAGCGCAATGATGACCCCCTGATGCAGAGAGAGTTTGCGAGTTCCAGTTTTCTCATACAGCTCCCACAATAGCGTGTTTGGAAGCTGCCTGCTGGCATTGCTTAATTAGGCGAGGAGTTGATTAATTTGCACTAATTGACAGCTAATTAAAGGCCTGAGGGCACATCGGATTGACGTTTGTTAGGGCAGCAGGGCCCGTCGAGGTCAGGGCAGTGGGTTGTTTATGGCTGTGCTGGTGTTTCTCTTTCCTTCCCCCCCCCCCCCCCCGTCCTGGAGACAGAGCCTCTGTGGGGAATGACCCTCATCATAGGGAGGATGTCTGGACGGGGCCTGTTTGACAACCAGTGACTGCTATTATGTGCACCGCAGCTTCCGTGATGTCAGTTTACTGAACGCTTCACTTACACTAACAGTTCCCTACATGATGTCACTGCACATCACTACTGTCACAATTTATAAAAATAACAAAGTGTTGTGGGACGCAACAAGTGTTCTTGTACAACAAGTGCAAAGTTTTGGCAAAATCCATAAAGTCTGTAAGTGCAGATAAAGTCCCCAATGTACACACAACTAAGCTATTTCCCATTCATTGCTTAGCAGTAAAACAAACAAAAAACTCCAATATGGTCCCATTACACTATTAAAAAGAATGTGGCATCAGTTTTCAGGTCTAGTCCTTTAGGAGCAAAGATGGGCAGAGGATCGTCAGTTTGCTTACAAATACATGAGAAAATTATTGAATTGTTTCAAAACAATGTTCCTCAAAGAAACATAAGAAGACACTTGGATATTTCACCTTCAACAGTCCATAACATAATTAAAAGATTCAAGGAATCTGGAGGAATTTCAGTGCATAAAAAAAGGGTGCAAGCCTAAGCTGAACCATGATGTCCGATCCCTCAGGCTAGGTGACACTGCATCAAGAATCGTCATTTATCTATAAGCGAAATCAACACATGGTGTTCAGGACTACTTTGGCAAATCTTTGTCAATTACCACAATACGTAGTTACATCCACGAATGCCAGTTAAAACTGTACGGTGCCAAAAGGAAGCCCTATGTTAACAGTGTCCAGAAGCGCCATCGACTGTTCTGGGCTCGAAGGCATCTGGGATGCACCATCACACAGTGGAAATGTGTACGGTGGTCAGATGAGTCAGTATTTCAGGTATTTTTGGGAGAGAAATAGAGGCTGTGTGAAGAAGAAGAAAAGGATTATCCAGACTGTAACCAGCAACAAGTCCACAAGCCAGTCTCTGTCATGGTATGGGGTTGTGTCAGTGCCCTTGGCAAAGGTAACTTGCGCTTCTGTCATGACACCATTAATGCTGAAAAGCACATGGAGATTGAAACACAATATGCCGCTCTCATTTTCAGAGACACGTGCATATTTCAACAAGACAATGCAAAACCACATTCTGCACACATTACAAAGTCCTGGCAGCGGAGGAAGGGGATAATAGGTACTTGACTGGCCTGACTGCAGTCCCGACCAGTCTTCAATCAAGAATGTGTGGCACATTTTGAAGTGCAAAACGCAACAACGAAGACCCAGTACTGTTGCCCATTTTAAGATTGCTGTTTTGCATTTAAGCTAAGAACAATATTTTGTGTCTAGTTTTTACATTTTGTTGTTATAGTAGGATCTTCAGGCTTACACAATACCGACAAGTTTTTCATGGTTTGTGATAACTGCCTGGATGTACTTTATCCCACACTTTGTGCCAAGTATGAGGGGTTTCTGGAAGGTTATAAATGATGTCCAGTTTCTACAAATAAATGCATAGCATTATCTTTAAAGAACAATCAAGTAGATTCTTTTACAGGCTCCAAATGGCCTGTAAATGCAGAAACAAAACTTTTTAAAGCAGTTATGTAAATGTTCTTTTTCAAATTGTCTGAAAAACCACTAAAGACTAAAAGTAGCGATTAAAATACTTGAAGGGTATAGGAAATGCAGCTAGTTTCACTTAGATTTAGAATTACTTATTGTGCTCTTAATTCTTATATTACTTTTATGGGGATTTATTCTTGTCAGAAACTAACATAATAAACAAACTAGCGAACACAAAGAAGAACACACACCAACCAAATATATAATTGCAATGGACCATTGGTCGTTTGAAGTTGTTTAGCATCTGGAGTGATTTTTTTAATACAAGTTCCAAACAAACTTTATTTGGTCTAAACCGAACGATTCCATTTTCGACTTTGCTTTAAGTATATCAAGACCTTTAGTAAACAATTCAACAATAGGTCAAACAAAAGAAGAATATACCTTCATTCACCAAGCACATTAGACTGTTTGTCAAAATAAGAGGTTGTTTGCCAGGGAATTTGCAAGTTCACTGCACTTTAAACTGTCAACAAAAGCTTGTTTATAAAGGGGCAATTCTGGGTCCTCCAAAGCAGGAACAGACACCAGCAGTAGCTTTGCAAGGTTCAAATCAGCAGCTTGCTTGTTCCATGTGAATCAGAAAGACAATTAGGGGCTTATTAGGCACTGGTAGGGGGGAGAGAGGCGTACCTCTAAGAATTGGTGGGAGCAGGAGCGAACACTCACCAACCGCAGCCGAAGCCCCTACGACATCTCCAGCCGAGAACAGTCCTGGCCACTGTCTCACCTAATTACACTCGCCGGAGTGTTCTTTGTTTGCCGTTCAGCATGCCTGTCTGATTCCCTTTTCTCCGGGACCGTTCGCGCCAATGTCCCTGGAAGTGTGCTAATTAGAGAAGAAATGGCCCTAGTAATTATGTCAACTCTTGTTAACAGGGATAACAATGAGCAATATTATTTTTACGCAATGTTTTGTGCTGGGGGCCTTCAAAACTTCCAATTCCCATTAAATAGAAAAAAATGGCCTTGCACTGGTTTGGAAGCACTCTCATGTCAAAGCCTTTTACATTTCCCGAGCAAAACAGAGACGTTAATGGAGCAGTCGATGGAGTGGCACAGGCATGAAGTTATTGCCCTAATTAAAAGTTTGAACGCTTCTTCATGAACTCCCTCATTGTTTGACAGAAGCTACTTTCAGCAAATGTCATTGGCTGGCCATTGGAAAGCAAAGCAGCACTAGCTGATGCCAAAAGTAAAAAGAAAAAAAAACGTTGACACGAGCTGTACTACCGTTAAACAACATTAAATTTTTTTTTATTAAAACAACTGAAGTTGTATTAAACACTGAAGAATGAAAAATAAATACACGTATTGAAAAGCACACCGCCATCTAACCCATACTACTCAGCAGCTGCTATTAAAAGAAGCCAAACATTTTACAAACATATATACAAAAATGCTGAACTGTTATGACGTTTTGACCCCAAATCAGTCAAGTCTTCGTGAAAGCGTTAGAAAGCACACAAATCATCATTCTGCCTTACAGTTTCACAATCAGCTAATAGCTGACCCCACAGGTCAACAATCACCATCTGTCTCTTCACTTTTTGGGCCTCTCCAAGATGTTGAGGAATTTCCCTCTCGTCATTTCTCGAGCTGGAAAAGAAAAGAAAATATCATTATTAGGTTACTGCACTTGTATATGTAACCCACTTGTAAAATCTGATGCCACGCATTAGATTGTAGTTATTCCCATCCTTTTCTATACACAGAGTTTCTGCACATTTCACTAAGACAAATTTAAGACTTTTAGACCATTATGAATACAATTTTAGATTTATAGGAAAAACGCTAAGGATTAAAGTTCAAACACAAACACATTTTCCTAACACCTACTATCCTACAAGGATAAAGAAGCCAAATTGGCCAACTTTTGTTAAACATTTTCCTTTTTTTAGATGAATTGTTCATTGTACCGATTAAGCAGCTTTACATGGACAAAGGAAAAAAAATAAAACCAGTTTTAAATGATTTAAGAACTACAACACCATATTTCAATTTTAGGCCCTAAAAAGTGAATTTAAGACTTTTTTGGGCCTAAAAGGATGTTTTTAAAATTTAAGACATTTTAAGACCCAGAGGACCCCCTGATATAATTGTGATCTTATAGTTTCATAAATAAGATTCGATTATTATAATATTTAATATTACTGTTATATTATTATACTATATTATAATATATATATATAAAAAAAATATATATAGATATATAGATAGATATATAGATAGATAGACAGATATATAGATAGATAGATAAAATATATATATATATATATATATATTTTTTTTTTAATACATTATAATATAGTATAATAATATAACAGTAATATATATATAAAATAATAAATATATATATTTATTTTAGGAACCAGTTAAAAATAGTTCCCATTGTCATTTTTTAGGTAAATAACAAACCGGTCAGCATATTTTGAAATCTGAATCCAAAATTTGGCAATCTGTACAATAAAAAATACAAAGCATAATTATATTATTAATAATGAGGGGCTTCACAATTTTTCCTGCCTTTATTTGAAAATAAATAGTACATTTAAACTTCATGGATAACAAAAACAACCTGTTGTATTTTAGTATAAAATAAACTTTTGGTGCTCGACACTTTTTTATTTCTATATTTTGTGATCAAAAAATTCACAACTGTGATGGTTTTCTTTAACAACATTAAGATGAAAAAAAAAGCCACCTACAAAGATGCATTTTTTTTTTATAGCTGGATGTTGGACTCAAAATTGCCCAAAGTTATTTGTTAAAGTCAAAAACACAGACTGTGATGCCTCTTTGATGATGAGTAGTGCACGTGCTGTTTATTGGACACTCAGCTGTGAAGTGCACAGGGGGCAAAGACCTCCGTTTGGTTCTAAAACCTTCTTTGAATTTGTATATATATATAAAATTTATATATTTATTTTATATATATATATACAAATAAAAAAAACTAAAATTTCTATTCATGTATAACTAAGATTTTCAGAAAGTGAATCATCTTTTATAAATTTAAATATTGGTGTCTGGAATGCAGCAAATTCAGAAGCTCCGATGTTTTGTTGTTCTTTTTTTTTTTTTTTTGATTTGCTTAAATGTGTGATATAAGTAAACCATGGTCATACATGGGCATTCAAATGAGTAGAATCTTGCACTCGGAAACAGTAGTCTATATACCACAAGCTGTTTTAAAACAAGACAAACAGTGCATCCGACATCATATATTGTCATAGAAGGTACTATTTGAATGTACAATAACTAAATTTGCCTCATGGAATAGTTAGAGGTCCATCAAATGTGTATTTTAATCTCTAAAAAAGGCTGGTAATCCATGAAGGACAAATACACAAGAGCACAGGATAATGTGGAAAATCTCAAGGGACATATGGTCTAACATTTTAAACAGGCTAAGGGCCTCAGAATATAGTGTCTTGATGTTTAATATGGAGAATATGGACCTCTCATCCATAGGAAAAACACAAACTAGAATAGATCCAAACGTGCTACATAGCTTGCATGCCGTTTTTAACATTATTATTATATTACAGATGTAAAGTGTGCAATTTTAGATGCTGCAAGTCTACACAGTATATCAGAACACTTGAGGTATCTTTACATGGCATATTTTAATCAGGAAAACTGAGATCCTGAGTAATTATTGAAGTGTAATGCACTTCATTAAAGTAGGTATTAATGAAGCCGTCTTTTTCATCTTCCTTCATTCTCAGAGCTCTGTCTGCATAATCTACAGCAGACTCTCCTGATGCTTTTGGAAATGGAGATGTAGCAGTGATGACCCTGCTGTGGTCAGGCTGACACAGGCGCTGATGAGCTGTTGGCTGGGTTTTTCAGGAGAGACGTGATGTGTGTGAGGGACAGGGTAACCCCGGTGTTAAGCGGCAGCTAATGAAATAATGTGGCGGATTGTAATTTAGATGAGCCGCCCTGTGTGGCATGTTAATGACAGGTGCAAGTGTCACTAGATTCACCTTCAGCTGCCTATCACTGAATTAAACATGATGCTTTATGATTGTCAATGCCAAAAAATGCCGTCCTGCTTAATATTTTTGTGGAATTTGGGATATAATATTTAGTGTTGGGAAAAGTTACTTAGAAAGTAACGCATTACAATATTGAGTTACTCCCCAAAAAAGTAACTAGTTGTGTAAAATAACTTTTGAGTTACGTTTGCGTTACTTTTTCTGATCTGGCTGAGGCTTGATCTCTTACAGAACTTGCAGGGTTTTCTTCTTCTTTTTTTTTTTTTAAATAGAGAAGCTCTGTAAATAAAAGCACACTGTAAAACCTTCATTTACCTTATAAAAACACATAAAAAATGATTGTTAGATAGCGTTATCTTCAGAGAAACTCCTGACCCCAGAGCTCCACAATGCGTTTGCTACTATTGTCTTATTCAAAAGTAAAATCACTGTCCTTTCATATAATCTTCTTCTCCTTTTCTTCCGTGTGTTCAAAATAATGAGAATGTTCCATTGCAGAAATGTAAGGCCCAGCCGTTTTCCTTTCTGTCTGTTCCTGCATTCTCTCTTTGTGTATGGGATTTAACGTGACTATGTTAATTTTAATTTAGCAATTTATTTTTTTAAAGCGATTTAACTAAACTAAAATTTAACTCACATTACATTTTTAATAAAGTAACTCAAGTATTATTACCTCATTTTTAAAAAAGTAATGCCTTACTTTGCTCATTACTTAGAAATGTAGCTTGCGTCACTTGTAATGCATTACCCCAATACTGTTAAAATTTTACAAGGTAACCCTTTCAGAAAAAAAATTAAATTTGTCAAATGACCGTTTTATATGAAACATTATTGAACATTTTCACATGGACTCCTCATAAAATGTTTAAAAAAAGACTAATTTCATGCGCGTTCCAAATGTGTGAAGCATTTTTTACATGTATTTTTTTTGAAACAGAGCTTAAGATAATAATGTTCCAAAAGCACAGTTTGCATAGTTCAGATGATAAATATTCTATATATATTAAACACATTTTACATAAAAATGTTACCAAAAGTTTAGAATGTTTCATAATGTATTCTACATATTTCACACATTGCTTTAAACAAAACATCTAATTCTATTTCACCCCACATTTATTAACGACCAACCAATATGAAAATCTTTTACAAAAATGTATTTTTTTAAAGTTTACTGGTGAATTAAACATTTACTAATATATTTCATGACATACTTACACTTATATGTAATAACAGTACATTTAAACAAAGACTATAGAATACACAAGACATGTCAATTGCATCTTTTTGAATGGGGAAAAGTGTAACGTTCAATATGGCAAATAAATCCCTGACTACTAGTACAGGAGCCAATCATAGATCGCTATGTAGCGAATAAAGCCCGGCTTCTAGTACAGGAGTCAATCATCGATCGCAATAGACTGACAATGCTCTGGGGGAGGGGCTTGGACAAGACATGAGTTTCTGCAGATTTTGTGTGATTTCGAACATTTAGAAATGAAACTTACGAGACAGTTGTTGTTAAGTTTTAATGGTGATTCCTAAAATGAAATTTAGTCATGGCAAGTAGTTTAGGAGAATTCGATGTTTTCCCATTGAGACAGAATGCCCGAGAGGCATTTCAAAGATCGCCATCGAGTGAAATGACTTGTCTTTAAGGGACTTTGATTTACTTTATAGTATGTAAAATCACACACACTGTGTGTCATGGCATGTAAAAACTGACAATAACCAGTTTTTAATTAGCTAGATAAGCAGAAGAATACAAAAATGCAACATAAATGACATAAACATGATAAAGTTACAAATACTCTAAGTAATATTTAGAGGAAATCCAAAGGGATGAACAGTAGATAATTTCTTATTCCATAGGTTTGAATTTAATTAGTAAATAATCATTTGATTCCCATTTAGGCATGGTTTCAAGGTTAACTATGGTTTGGAAATGTCAAGGTTTTAAAACTGTTTAATGTGTTATAATGTTCCTAGGATATATATGAAAGTTTCAGTTTTGTGTGTGTTTTTACTACTATTTTATTTTTTATTTTTTTACTTCAAAATCTACTGGTCAGCCCATGAAAAACTAATTGTTTATGCACCGCTTAATTGCAGTGGCTTTACTTTATATCCAATGAAAAGAAAGATCTCCAAAGATGCCTTTTTAAAGTTGTGAAGAAATCTGTATTTTTGAAACTTATGAAGACAGCAGAACTCAATGACTTATTTGAATTCTTCATCCTGACATGTTTATTGTGTCAAAATATGTAGAAAATGTTTTGTGAAGTAAAACATATTGTGTTCAAAGGAGGTAAAGTTTTTTTTTTTTTTTTTTTTTTTTACCCAGACATTTTAAAAAAAGAACATATTTTAGGGAAGTAATCACAATACTGTGGTACCGTGAAACTGTGATATTTTTAACCAAGGTCATCATATTGTCAGAATCTTATACCGAACCCATGCCTATTCCGATTAAATCCTTTAGAGAGCTAGACGTAAAGCCTGAAGCCCAACTTAATCTTCAGTATATTAACATAACAGATCTCACATTGCAATTAAAACACCCAGGTAAAGATGAGCTTTATAAGATATTACCAT